TTTTGATTATTCTTCAAATTTCGTCGCAAGTCTTCAAACTTTGAAACGATCTGATAAACGCATATCCACTTGGGCTAAATGTAAGTATGAACATGTTACACATATTATATTGAAATGTTTAATGTGTAAACAAGATCAGCAATTTACATTAGAATAAAATAAGAAACTTCTTCTCAAAAATGAGCAGAAAGTTCGTAAATTAATACGTTATATCCTGAAAGCGGAACATCAGTAATGAGATGTATGATTACTTTTGAGGTAGAATTCAGAAGGAATAACTAATTAAGGAGAAATTCTAATGAATCAGCAGTCTATTGATTATACTAAGTGAGAGAGAGGTAATAAAGAATTTAGGCTCACTGAAAACAAAGGATAAGAAAGGAAGGAAAGGTCTGACAGAAATAACTGTCCACTCGCTGCAGTGATGGCTATCACCTCTGCTGTAGCCACTGTATGTCGTACTATTTCCACTGGGCAAACAGTATCAGATATCATCTCATTAAATCATATCTATTAGTCCTATGTGCGACACTTTCATCTATGCTTCCACGTCACCATTGTCACCATACAGTCACGTCACACAGTTGTAGCTGATTCATCATTGCACATTTATGCTATTAATGACATTGTCCATTACATATCTTCAATTATTAAGCAATAAAGATTTTTAATAGGAGCACTTCTGAAGTTTCTGCCTCAACCTCGGAAGCCTTACATTTGTCTGAAACGAACTTATTAAAACTGGGACAATTGGCAGAAAAGGTAGGAAATTGATGATGAACATGTGGAAAGTGATTTGGATGCAAAGATCAATAAAGAGTATATTTAAATACCAACTGATTAATTGATTCCAAAATTCGTTTTTGCCTGAATCTAGACAGAATAATAATCAATGAGATGGTATAAAACGAAGAGGTAACTTTAATATCGTAATTGTCTATGATCTGAAATTACAAATTTATATAAGAAAAAAAAACAATGTAATTGTAAAATCGTTTAATTCAATTGTCCTCATTCGGTTTGAGAGAAAGAGAGGGAGGGACATTTCGGAGTTATACGAAGTGAGAAGAAGTTGAAATGATTTGAAAGCACAATAGCAACAGATTTGCTCATATTTCAGTATTTGTAACAGAAAATGCTTGATTCTTTGATTGATACATTATAATGCCTAGAAATGGCAATATGATATAATAGTAAAATGATTTGAGACAATTCATTAATTGCTTAATTAATTAATTAATCAATCAATAAATTCATCAAACAAATATTTCTTTCTTTTTAGCTATGTCAATTTCCAGTTGGACAAAAAAACAGTTTTGAGTGGTAAGAAGAAAAAGGCAATGACTCTCGATAAAAAGACATTTCTCGCAGTGTTTTTCTTTTTGCCTCACGCATAAAGTATGCTGTTTGTTCGAGAAATGATCATTCGCTTTTCTTTTTGAACCGATCGACTGATCATCGATGCTATCATAACACCAAAGCAAACGAATTGAAATATTTGCTTTCTTTCTCCGTCTCGTGTCTCTTTTATCGTATTGTTTATCGGTGTGATATTGATTACTTGCTTGTTAGTAATCAAAGCATACCATTGATGGTTTAATTTCTGGTAGCATAAAATAACTTGAAACAATGGGGAAGAACTATGCGATCATGTCGATGAGAAGGTAAAGTAGAAAACTTGATTGTCGTTCGAGCTGTCCATCCTTTTGATTTTCTGGTAAGCAAATTTTTACGAATTATTATAATATTAATTTACAAAAATATCTTTATAGCAAATTTCAATCAAGAATTCTACTGATGACCATGAAAATTACAGATGAAAGATGAATTCAGAAAATAGTGAAATAAGATTGATTATTATAATACTTCTCATGTCCTACTTGTGTTTTGATCTGAAATGAGTATAATGGGAACAGTCTGATAGCATATTACTGAATGCTACTTACTTTTTACTTTTCTAGAAAAGATTGTTCCTTACTTGTTAACAATGGAAAATAATTTTTTGAAGAAATAAATGTAACAAAGCAACGCAGTACAACTCAGTCATCCATCGCTGCGGAAAACATAAAATTTTGCTGCTTACTGCCAAATTTATAAATTAGAAACTATAATTTAGATCTTTTAGCAACAAAAAATGAATTACACTGCTGCGATAGTAGTATGAAGTATTGGAACAAACGTTAAAATTATTATTTACCGTTTCAATTTTTCTATTTCTTACTGAAATTAATATGTAACAACTAAGAAGAAAAGAATTTTAGCAAAAAGGTTCATCAATCAGTTTTGAAGGTAAAGTCAAACAAAATTTAATAAAATATGACTTTGAATAAAATTTTAACAATTGAATAGTGAACAGCCGTCACCATCACATCACCTGTTCCACTTTCTCAGTACTGCTTTCAAATAAGAACTAATTCATTTACAGAATCAAATGCTTTAGTTTTTGAAGCTGAAGAAATTATAACAATGTGGAATAAGTAGGAATGAAAGACAGTAGATTTCTAAGCAATCAATAAAAATCCCAGAAGCTATGGATGGTTGGCTACCAAAATTTGAAGTACTTTTTACCAGAATTTCTTGAAAATATACGCTCTACAGTAAAATTGAGCTCACATGCATATGTCTGTGCATATCAGCGATAAAATGCAATCCTTACCATTTTCTCAGACAGATATCTTTTTCTAATAACTAATGAGTTATGATCTGTACAGGTTAGGTTAAATTCATATTCAATTTATAGAAATTTTGAAATGAAATTAATAAATCAAACTGGTAAGAAGGAAGATAGCTGCAGTGAAATTAACAGTAATTGATAAGTGGGAATAAATGCAAACAATATAGATTTTTTAACTGAACAAACACAGTGCTTCAGTTGGGCTGGGGAAAGGAAGAGAAAAATAGTACAGTAACCTTTGAACTTTGTTGTGAGTATAAGTATAGCTTAAACTGTTTGTGAATTTACATTTGTTGATAGTGGCAAATGATGCAGAATAAAATAGAAAGGCAATAATGAAACAACTGAATTTTCAGTAAATACTTGATAAAAGACAGTAGAATGTGAAAAGAGATGTAATTTGATTATTGCAATTTTCGCACTTCAAAAATTTCATATTTTAGAATTTGAATAATGAAAGGTTGTGCAGTCATTCATGAGAAAAATTCGGAGGAGAACGACATTTTTTTAGTGGTGATCATGGGAGTTTATGCATGGATAACTATTTCATTTTCAAATCAATCTGTTTAAGGTAAAGCGAGTAAAATGGCTTTTATATATTTTTTGTTTTGTTTTAATTTCATTTAATTTATGTTTTTCATTTAAGAAGTAATAATAGCAACAAAGTGTATTTCAAAAATTAAAATTTTGTTTAATTTTCAATTAGCATGGCATGAATGTAGATACCAACTAATAAAACTAATTGTGAAATAAGATGAAGCGATCGAAATTCAAAGCTCAAAATGAAATTTGCAGATTATACTGTGTTACAGAATCAATAAAAATGGTTTTAAAAAAATCAATAAAACTGTGTTTCAAATTCGAATTTTAGTTTAACTTGTTTAAATCCAACAATTGTGTTTATACCGTTAGAAAACAAGAGAGCAAATAGAGAGTGACCAGTTTCTTCCATAGCTATTCTGGATCAGATGGAAAATACAGTAATATTTAATCAATTTTATTACAAAATTTTTGGTAATGTTCTTGAGAACCTTTTCATTGAGAGAGAGATGGTTGATAAAATCGGTGGTGATCTTAGATCGTTTATTAGATGGCAGATGTATGGTATGAACTACACCTGCTTCTTCTAAAAATTGACCTCCTACTGAGTTAGTTGATGATATTTCCTATGATTTAAGAAGAAACGTATAATTCTGACTGTTTTTTGTCTGCTAATTGAATAAGCTGCTGTAAATTTAATTTTGATACCAGCATTAAAGTACCTTAAATTTTAATTCATAAATGTCATATAAATACTGTTTGTCCCAACAGTTCGTTTTTTTCTTCTTTTTAATGTTTCATAATATTTAAATTACTGGGGTAATTGATATTTACCACTTGAAGTATATAATTCTTCCACTTCACTTAATCCAACAAACAAAACAGAAACTTGACAACATGATATCATACAACAAACGATATAGAAAAACAGCGCTATATTCGTGTCGTCGAAACAATTGATAATCGACTAAATGTTGATTAATTTCCCAGAATATGAAATTCAATCATTGCAGATGATTTCTTTCAAATTCGATTCAACTTGAAGACGAAAATGTTCCATTTCTGAATTTTTTTCAAAGTAATGAAGTCATTTCCAAATCAGTTCCAATCATTTCTGAGCATTTTTTAATTAAAAAAATCTGAGTACTGTTTATTTCCTAACACATCCATAATCACAAAAAGTCTTTAGGAATTTAATAATCGATCAGAGATTAGACAGGAATGAAGCATTTTGGAAAAATCGTACTCATTTCCAGACATTCCATCTTCCAAGAATATAATTGATGGACATCACTTAAATCTTAGAGTTTTGTTTGCATTATTTACAAATTCGATGAGACAACATCAAGTTTTCAAAATGATATAAACATAACGGATATTCAACTTCATTGAAAAATTCTCTTAGAGATGAATCACATTTCTGTTTGGAGATTTTATGATTAAGCGGTAAGAATACCTATGTGACACTTTACCTACTGAGAAAAGGCATTCTGGCACCTAGCACTTATAGGAATTTATAAAGTTGACATTGCTAATTGGAATCATTTACCGCTATAGAAAAATTTTGAAATTAGTGAAAAAGAAAATGAACGATATCAAAGAAAAGCACCTAAAAAGATAACACTTATTCTAGACAGAAATAAATTTTGTTTTAATAACTTAAAGATAACAGAATATTAGTAATTCAAGTTGTTCCCTTAACTTTTAAAGGCAATATTTTATTGGTGCAGCATGAAACGACTTGACATCCAGATTTTTTGATAAACATGCTTTTGTTGATTTATTGCTAGCACCATGTTGTGTGCCTGCATATTTCAATTTCGCAAGGATAATTGCGCTCGAAATATTCACCGTTCACAAACATTGCTGGCCATAATTTAATTCCTATAAATGATACAGCTATAAATTTGTATAATTGCAGTTTTTTTCACACATTTGTTTTCCTTGACTGTTTACAAATTCCTATTGAGCGTTGGAACTTTTTTTTTCTTAGGAGATAACTGACAATTATCAATTGTATTTAGCATGGAACTGCATTTAACCTGCTTGATGGGTATTTAGCATGGAGTAGTAATTCAAGACTTCTCCAGTTTGTGTTGTGGCACATTCAATTAATCGATATCGAGTATATTCAGTAAGGCCCGTCAAACATCGCGAAAATGCTTCATAAATATTGGGCAAGCCTTGAACACATGTTACCAGGCCTAAGTAGCGTCGAGGGAAGAACTAAAAACTATTAATACTGAATTTTCACAATCTTTCAACATTGTTAGTATTACTTATTTTACATTCAAGATTACAAACTGCTGATTAAGCATATAAATAACAATTAAAATTATTAATGTAAAACGATCACTCAGTCAAGGTTTGCAGAAATTCATCTTAATTAGCCTTAAATGAAAAATCTCTTCAGCATTCCCTCACATTTTACCGCTGAATAGCATTATTATTATCACTATTTTTTGTTTAATGTTTATGTTTATCCATTCAGTCGTATGACAATTTCTTAATTTCTCTTTTTCTTCCACTCATTTCATTCCTCCATTTTAATAATAAAGGTAAAAAAAAAAAAAAAAACGAGCAAACTAACAGCGATGGCGCAATTTTGCAACCTATTCAGATCACATTCGTCTTGTTCATGTTGACAATGGCAATAAAATGTTTGATTTGAAAAATGATCACAATAACCTTTGCCAAATGGTATTATCTGGAAGAAACTTATTTGAACTCCAAAATGGCAGGTAGACTCTGCATGAAAATATTTTGTTTTCTGACAGTGTCTTACCTGATTATTAAGCCAGAATATGAGCAAAACAAATGTTTTTGAAATGACTTTTTGTAAATTAAAGAAGTTTGATTTCAACTTCACCTGTATATTCATTATGCCAGGTCGTTTCACGTAGAATGGCCAGATTTGTTCACGCAACAACTTTGTACAGTATTTACACTTCGATTCTGTGAATATTGTCACATTTACTTGCTGCGATCGGATTGTCTGGTACCATAAGCAGCAGCACAGCATCCACACTAACAGTATTAGTTTTAATATCATTCTAAAATAGGTATTTCAGTACTACACTGACCAATAAATTGACTACGGACATTTACGAGATACTCACACCATTTCTGTATTTGTGATCATTTACTTTTTATGAAGATTTCACTTTCTTGTTTTAAGTTTTTCAAAGAACATCCTTTTTTTTTTTTCATTTTCTAGTCTTATAAATGAAAGAAGAAAGTGGTAATAACTTTTATTTTCTTTTAAGGGAAATATTAAGAGCACGAGATGTGAACTCTGAAAAAGACTATCCCACATATTCATTTCGATTTCAATGGAAACAAAAATAATTTTAAAAAAAATGCGTCTCAATCATTTTAATCACTTCTCTCCATGAAATTTGAACAAATTTGAAACATTTCAAACTTCATGAAGTTGCAAAATGCTTTCACAAAGATAGCCATAATTATTTCATGCTATTATTTTCTCTTTAATTATTTGCATGATCACAGGCGACTCGTTCTCTTTTTATTATAACAAAGAATTGAAAAGTTATCTGTTAATGCTGTTTCTATTTTAAGCTTAACAAACAAGTCTCATTGTCTTCATTTATCACATCAAAAAGTTTGAGGAAAACCAAATATTTAACCCTTATTCCGTGATCTGACATATCACGTCATGCATGATGCTTTCATAATTTGCAGCAAACAAAACGTCCATAATTAACAACCAGAAATTAGTATCCTTTATAGAAGACGTCAATATCAGATAATATAAATGTACAAATACTTTATAAGGAAGCATAGTTGCATAGATGATTAGCTGCTGATAAACGGATGTGAATAAAACTGATATTAATTAAGAAATAGGCAAGCAATAGAATTTGTTTAATTCAAATGTTGGAAGGAACTGATCCCTCATTTCACTTACAATACGCAAAATTGCAAGAAAACTCTCATAAAAAATTGTAATTCCTAAAATTCAACCATAAAGTATTTAGTGAGTTACTTAATGATTAAGCGTAATTGACGAGGAAAGGCATAATTTGATCATCAGAAAAGTAATTGCAGTGGTAGATTAAACAGTTCTATTTGCGCTCACTAACATTGTAATCAATGTAAGTCGTAATTTCAAATTTTTGTTGCTGTTTTTCAAATTCAGTGAGATATGTGAGAAATGCAATACGACAGTATTGTTTATAATTATTTGACAAACTTATTCAATATTTCAAGTTGAGATGTACCGAAAATTTTTATATTCTTATTTACTAATAGAAAGCAAAAGATCTTGACGAGTTTATCAAACTTAAATTTTTTCCAGTTTTTTTTTCCATTTCTAGCGGAATAATTTTTTAAATATTAACTTTACATAAATTATTATAGTTGCTGCAATATTACGATGTAAATGAACCATTATCAAAATTTTGTTAAAAAATATTAAAATTCTAAATAAAATGACACTTACAAAAATATACAAACCGTATGATAGGTGAAGTAAATATGGCTATTTTGGTAGAGTTTGAATGAATTGAAGGATTTTAAAGAAGTAAAATTTTTCCACAAACGAGAAATTTAGCAATTCATCATCACAACTAAAGCATTGTACATATTAGAAAGAACTAGAACTCTTCTTACCTTATTTATGGGGTAGATTGTCTCAAAAGTTGGCAAAAAGGAAGAGCACTTCAGAAAAATCTTATTTCATTTCAGTAAAACTTTTATTGATACTAAAAAATATAACTGAGCGATCATTCCAAAATCAATAATTACTTCAATGAATAATAAACGATAAAGTTTATGAAGACCTTAAATATACAAAAAACAATGTTTGAAAGATAACAATGAATGATGAAGTGATTTTTGCCGATTTCATTAGTACACGAAATTCACCAACCCAAATGTTAAACGAATTTTGATTTTTAAGTGGAATACATTCGATGTAAAAAATAAACGGAAAAGATAAGTGACCTCATTTCGATCGTTTTTATTGCTGTGTTCTTTCTTCCAAAAAAATTCAGTTTCATTTTATTTTTACCTTCAAATTTTTTCTGAATATAACTTCTTATATAAAGATATCATTTTTATAAGAATCTCAATCCAAACAAGTAAGAAAAAAGGCTGGCACATCACAAATGCATCTTGTCCCTGGTGATCCAGCCCCTATATTTATTCCTGACCAAATCACTTAAGATTATTCTTGGGTGGTAATAAAAAAGAAAAACGGAATATCTATGTAAATATTAAGGAAAACAAGCTCCTTTCTTCACTTTTTTTTATATTAATTATAATGAATAAACATACAACGATAGTGATGGTTAAGAGTAAAATATGATATAATTTAAGATGCAAGTGAAATGTTTAGTTTTGTTCTAGAATCGTAAGCAATTATTAAAATTAGTATTATCTAAGAGATTCTTTCATAAAAAAAAGATTGATTGCATTCAGATTTCCTAAACGAAAACAAAAAGCTAGTTTCAATAACTACTTCAATCACAATTTATGACTTTACCATTTAAAATTTTGTCAAAATCCATTCAAAAAATGCAAATATGAAAGAAATTTATTGCTTCTACTAAAGAAATTTTGTAATCAATGGTTCTTGCGAATTCGGCAAAATAAAAAGCAACTTTTGAAAGTTGAAATGATCACTTTAGCCAAATTTGATTGAAAAAAAAATTAAGTGAAAGTTATTTGAGCAAAAGACAGCGAATAATAATAAAAGACAAATTTTTGTCTCAGCAAATTCAAAGCAGTAAATTTACTGAATTACTGGGATTGATATAAAAAAGGAAAATACTAAATCGATAATTTCGCAAATATTTGAGGATTAAATGTCAAAATTTATTTAAATTTTAAGGTTCAATCACTTCTTTAAACATTTGATTGTGAATTGATTGTCCATTGTTTCGAATAGAAACTGGAAAATACGTCAAATTGTAGGAGGTATCTAACTACATGTTGTTATTGTTAACTCCATTATGTGTTCTCTTGTTTACGTATTTTCTCTTTTTTTACGTATTTACGTGTTTTCTTGTTTTTTTTTATTGTTTGTTTATTTGTTCATTTCATTGTCTGCAATGCAATGCAAATTGAAGGCATACTGATTGTTAAGAGGAATAGAATGAAAGCATTTTTGAAATTCGTAAGCACATGTTTAGGTCAATAGATCACAAAAAAGTTCCTTGCTTGTAAGAAAGTATGGGAGTAGTTTTGCAATGAGAATAAAATTCAAGTTATCTTGCAAGAATTCATTTTTGACCATTACTTGGCGATGAAGTCATCTGCTTTCACTGGAAGTGTACTTTCGTCCTTTTTTTTGTTAAGAGGAATAAAATGAACGCATTTTGAACGCGTTCCTAGCTACAAATATATAATACATCATGGAAATAAAATTGAATAGCTATAAACTTAATGATAGATTAGAGCAAGTAATATTGCTCCAATTTCCTTAATCATTTTGTCGAATTCAGTAAAAGGAATACTGTGCCTAATGAACGCAAATGCCGTCTAGTAGCAAATATTACAAAACTTCCAATTTTTAAATCTTACTTAATTTAATTCAAATAGGGAGATCGATACCAGTGAGACCAGTACAGTGAACTGAAATATCTGATTTATTCATAATGACCGATGAAAATGATTATTTTCAAGAGCCTTGCTTGAAATAAATTTAGCCAACAAAAATTTGAATTTGTTCCCAGCTTACAAATACATAATACATACTAGTTTTAGTGTATTTCTCTGTACTTAATTAACGTCAATAGCAAATCTAACTTTTAACCTAACATAACCTGCATAAATCACTGTTCTTTTATATTCACCATGTGACTTATTGACTTCATAACTTATCCGTTCCTAAAACAACAATTTTGTAACAAGTGCTCATTCCTTTACAGTCGTTTACGCTCACTTTAGATGGTGATGATGCATAATGGAGCAAATAGGAATGATTAGTAATAGTTTCAAGAAAACACTACGACGTACGCTTCTCGACCTTAAAGAGAGGTGAAGACACATAAAAGCAATCGATTATCAACGTATAAGCATGAAATGAAGCCGGTACAAAGCAAGGTATCATTGTTGAGCTACATTTATATGCCAACAAGATGTTATTACCCTGATTTTGATGATATTAATAAATATTTTAAAGTTTTAGTGGTCTAACAAAATAAAGAATATGGATGAATCGTTTTGTAAAATGGTGGTTTAAATTAACCCCAAAAAGTAATAGAAAGTCACAAACTACACAAAACATAACTGATTGTTCATTTAGATTGGTCAGTATTTAACAATAAGCATAGGATGGCATCTCGGTAGGGGGGATGTGAACGGCTTGTTTCGTCAAAATCTGGTTTTTTCTCTGAAGAAATATTGCTTTGGGCGTAGGGATCGTAGGATCAAGCGGATTGACCGACTGATCGAAAGGCAAGATTGGATATTTTTGCTAAATTTATTTGCTTTAAACAAACGGATTTTCTAAACTGGTCAGTTTTTTCTTGGAATTAATTTAATGCAAAAATGAAATGAATCAAGAAAGACACAGTAACAAAAGTTTCATTCCCGTCATTCAGACAAGTTCCTGTCTATTTTCAGAATTTATGCGCCAGAAATGCACGTAAATTTGTCTAAAATCAGAATAATGGATGGCAGTTTGCTGCTGTGACTCACCTTATTTGACGGATTTGAAATTGCTACCACTCCTCCTGCTAGTTGAAACCAGTTGCGACATTTTGATTACCATTGTTATTGTTACATTCTTTCTCCTATTACTATCATTCTACTACTACCCTAATAGCAGCTCTGAATCGAAGCTACATTTCTAGCGTTTAGTAGTGCCAAGTATATTCGCTTTGAGCACAGCTGGTTTTAAGCTAAAGAATTCAATTACACGTGCAACGGTCATCTGCAATTTCAGTGCATTCAATTTACTTCATTATTTTGGTCTTAATTCAAACATAAATTCCAACTTTATTCCAATTGAAATTGTTCATTTTTTAGATGCTTCATACTTTCAACATATTACGGATGCTAACCAAATTTACACACTATTTCTACTCCTATGCTAAGGTAATCCAAAGTTCTATTAAATTTTTTTATGATGCTTGAAAAGTTGTGATTACTTGAAATTGAAAGAGGAATTAAAAAGTGACAATTAAAGGAACCACCGACATATACCCAATAGTTCGTAACCATAATCTCAAAGCTATTAAGTTTCTAGAAAATGTAAAGATATTTGGAATAGCAAAAAACGTATGGTAGCTGTATTCAAAATACGTGATCATTAATCGGAGGTGTATCACTCCGTTGGAATCATTTCTAAACTTTACAGCTCCTGATATGCAATCTGATAAATCTTTTAAGAAACTATTTGTAAGATGCCGCATGTTTTATGCAAACACGAAATTATAATTCCAACTTGTAAAGAGATTAATATAAAATATCCTGATTAGTTTATCATTCAGTAATGATTGAGACCAAAAATTAAACCAAAGCATGAAATTAGTTGGTAAGAAAGATAAGCAAGACTCTGATCTCAATGGAACAGCAGAACATTGCAGTCATATGTTGTATTAAGGTACGAATGTACTGCTGGTTGGAATGGACAAATTAATTTTCTTAAAATCATTTCACTAAGTCTTAATTGAAGAAAAAGGAGGAGGGTTAATAAAAACAACTCGCGGCAGCTTACTTAAATATCGCGGTCCAAATCATTTCTATAAAATACAAATAATGTGATACGTAAACCCTTGTCCGAAACATGATTTTAGAAAAATATGGCTACAGTTTCGTGGTCAGAGCAATAAAAAGCAGTAGAATGAACGACATTACTTCACTGTTTCATATGACAAAATAACACGCTATAAATGTCAATAATTAATTTATACCAAAATTGTAATGAAAAGTGGAGGCAACAAAATAATATGCAACGTTGATGTCATATCTATTTCTTCTATCATGATTTTTATTAGAACATTTCAAATTACAATTTCGTGCCGAAACAGTCGATACTTTGGCCTTATTTCGGAAATTTCCGGCAGTGGAGCATTCTGTGACAGAAAATGTAAAGCTGTGTCGTTGAAAACAGCAAAATTTGGTTTAAAAGTGGGAAATTTTAATAATGAACACACTTCACTATAAAGTGAGAGAGCTTGAAGTTCATTGCAATCAGAAATTTCCATTACATTGTATTCTTCCGGATTTTGTATAGATTTCTCATATTTTGACAAATGCTTCGTCATAAGATTCACCGAATGAAAATTGTTACCTGGAAACTCATTTAATTATCAATCTTTTTAAATGCAATAAATCATTGGTGGATAAATTAAAAAAGAAGATTTTACATTTGCAAAAAACGTTGTACATTTCAAGCGCTACTTCAACTGGAAGATAAGGAACTTTATTTTAAGGATAAAGAATTTCATTGAACACAAGACAACCAAATAAAACTAATGCTTACCTGCAATAATAATCCTTTTTAATTTCTTCCTATGCGCATAAATTACACTGTTATATATAGCATGACCACAGTGTGGTGCGTAGAATAGCACGACATTTTCGTTGTTGTCATCATCATCAGATATCCGACATTTTAATAAATCTTTGGTTTCGGATACGTAAATGTCATGATTGCATAGCCAACGCTGAAAAACCAATTTTCTTAAATTAAAAAACTTATTCGGATGTATTGAAAAATACCGAAGTGTAGGAAAAGAAAATCAAAACGCAGATTGACAAAAAGTAGTAACGACTGGTGAAATGTGAAAAGCAATTAATAATTTCCAGAACTCCCGATCGAAATATTTGCTGGAATGAACAAACACTATAGTCAATCACAAGTTTTTGTTTCAAACTCGGCACCTACTGATTTTCTCCATCGATTTTCTATGTAACTCACGAAAAATCTAAGAATTAGAAATCAGTGCTGGAAAAAGGACTAACGAACCTTTTCAGTTTCCGTTAGGCAAGGTTCTTGAAAGCAAACTTCACACCCGAAATAATGTTGCAATTCTAGCAACATCGCTAGCTGATCACAACCAGGATAACAGCAGCGACTGAAAGAACCTAGTCCAAGGGCCCAAATGCTTGAAAGTTGACGTCCGGAGAGGGATTTGAGAAGTAAAGAAATAACCTGTCGGCTGAAATGCAAAACGAATGTCAAACACTGATTTTACAATGTACCTGAAGCTAGTCAATTTCTACAGCTTCAAAGGGGCAACTGTCCCGTCCCATATTCTGAATCATCCAACTTCTAGTTAAAACTTCCTGACCCGTGCTTGCTTCTCTAAATATATAGCAGCATCTACAGCCTTCAAGTTAGATGAAAAAGGACTAGCAAGACCTAGAGCTTTCTCTTCATTTATCGATTCCTACATTTATTTCCCCTTACTCTGTCAGGGAACAGTAGCATAACGCTAACACTTTCTCATCTTCTCCGACATGCTTCTTACACTTTTTTTCGACGGAAGTAAGATAGGAAGGAAAAAAAAGAAAACATTAACCTGACTCACCTGTAGTTGATCAGCTCGGTGTTGCTGCACGCATTTTTCATGACTGTATCAATTTTCTCTACTGAAACCTGATTTCCCAGATCACAAATAGCCGTTGCAACCTTCCCGTCTGTTCCACAAGGTCGCCTCCAACCTTTCCTCCCTCTCTTTCTCACTACGACAAACCGTTCATCGTCATCAGATCCACATGCACCTCCTTTGCATGTTTCAGATGCCATATGAGCTTATTGCTGGCTATAAGTTACGCCAATAATTATGACTTCAACGAATATATGAATAAAGGAGAGTAGTGAAAATACTTCCTAACACAAGCAATACACCATCACCACCTTAACTACCTTAATTCCCAATTAATGTTTACGATAAAGGCTGTTTCAGTTGAACGAAAGTCTTAGAACGATCATTACTGTGACCACCGCATCGCATCCGCATCGCTTTTAGGTTTTTGGCGCCTGGGAGCGTTAGCGGTCCTGGTTGTGCGGCATTAGCGCCCAAAGCGTTGCGTGTCGCGTAGCGGTGTTCCCCTCCTTGTTAATATGAAATTTTGAAAATGATACAGTTCGGATGTGGATAGATTACCAGTGGGTTGCAGTAAAGTACAAATTAGAGGCAGGAGGTGAGTCATCGACTCAAATGTAAGTAGCGTTTAATTAGCTAACATGCTGCCATGTTGTGGAGTCTCACGTCAGTGTTCGCTAATCACGTCATCAGATCATCACAATCCACTTGGTAAGGTATTAAGTTAGATGGAAAAAGTTGGCAAGGATATGCCGCTTGAATATCTAACACTCGTAGTTGTCGGTAGCTTCGCTGTCAATGTTTTTATAATCACTATTTATTACTATTTATTATTTACTTCAATTTCAGACAAATGTGTATCAGCGTTTCAAATGTTAATTTTATTACTTGTTGATCCGTACTTCTCGGACAGGTCAGGGTTGTTCCCATCATTTATAAGCTAATAAAATTTCCCGATGATACATCTTAACTAGTAAATATACAAAAATTTGAAACAAAAAAGAACTGAGTAAGTGTTGAAATTTTTTTTGTTGCAGCTGCCATTTTGCACCTAAGCAGTGATACCGGAAGTTATCAAACCGGTTGGTGCCGGACGGCACGCGCTGCAACATATTGTTTTTGGATTCCCAAGTAAGTTTGTTTGGAATCTTTCTTTTCCGCATTCGCCATCTTTTAGAAATCAGTAATTAAGTTTTTTTTTTTTCCTTTCGGTTTCTTCTCCGTGGAAACTGCGCACGCTTGGGGTATACCGATCTAGAGCATACTAATGGCATTGATGTATGACTTTCCATAATTTTAAATTAATACTGTTTCAGAAATAATTGAAATCACGCGATTTATTAAGTGAAAAATTTTTTAGGAAAACGATCAAAAAATATTGATCATATGCCAACGGTTCAGATCCAGTCGGTCGTTGGACAGCATACAGGTGGTACCACTACTACTCTAAGTACTGCCATTGCTACCGGTGAAACACCATTAATTTCAACGTCAGTTTTGGATGAAGACTTCACTCGTCGCTTGATTGAAGCTGTGAAAGCACAGCCCTGTTTATACAATCCCAGTCATGAACATTATGGGAACAAACATTCTAGCGCTCAATACAGAATTCAAGTGTGGCAGAAGCTACGTGCTGAACTTGGTTTCAAAGGTATTGCCTCTTTTGTTTGTTCTGTTTTTTCTTTTTTATGTTACAATCAATAAATGCCATTTATTAATTATCCTTTTACTTCTCTAGACATGAAATTCCATGACATTCAGTGTCATTACCTTTCTTATTCAAAACTTCAATGCTTAATCACTCTGGGTTCGCTGTCGCTCTATATTCCAATGTTCCCATGAATTTGTCATCGACCTAAACTATTTGAACTGCTTGTTCTTTGCTTCTCTGTCATATGATTGTTGAGTCTTTTTAACAGATGACGCACATGCGTTACAAATGCAGTGGAAAAGAATACGTGATCGGTACGTACGTGAACGGCGGAAGCGACGAAATGTTGATTCGGGTGAAAATAATCAGGTCACGCAGTAAAAACAGAGCTTCTCTTTCATTGTCTTTTACACTGCGTTTGCTTATATCAGGTTTCCCATAAAGTTTTTCGATATTTTGTCGATTTTTAAAATTTTAGGATTCTCTTATTACCGGTCGGGAACGTCATGCATCAGGTGGTTCTAACTGTTCCACATCAAGCAGTGTCGCTAATGTGAACACATCACTTTCTTCACAACAGTTTACCGAAATGATGCGATGGATTGAACCATTTTTAGTTGATGTAAGCCGAATTATCTAAAGTAATGGGTATATGCTGAATTCTCGGAGGAATGAACTGTTCTAAATAAGGAGCAGAAAATGTTTGTCTAACGGAAAGGTGAGCAAGAATCTTCTTTTCTTCACATTTGTTGAATGCTTTATGCATTTTTTAGAATATGACGAGTAATGTTCACTCTACATCTCTTAGTGCACTTGCAAGTTCAAGTATGCAGCATCAGCAGATTCAGAATATCACTTCACAACAACCAAACGACAGTCAAGGTAAAAAAAATATTTTCCATACTTCTTTGAGGGGTTCGGAATCACTCTTAAGAGCGATAAATCTGCCATGACTGTTCAGAAAAGAGAAACCATTACAAAGATATAGAATTTCTTCTGCTTACAAGAAGGTTGAAAACACAAATATAATTTCTGCTCAAGATATATAATTAAATTATTCCTTTTGATACACAAAGTTTTTTGTATGATATATGGGCTGTTTTTGTTGCCTACAATCCTCGTGTCCGAACTTCTTTTGCTAATATAACAAGATAAGAAAAATATCACCTTCTCTCAATGACGACTGTAATTGCAAAGTTCTTAGAGCAGTCTTTTTCTTAGATCCATATAAATTTTCTCTAAAAAATCTTCAAACTTCAAAAAATGTGTTCTGGATGTTTCGTATCGTCGTTACATCTTACAAAAGCATCAAGCGCAAGAATGCAGCGTAGACTTGCTGTTATTCTGAAATATCATTTTTTGATGCAATAATAATGGAATACTGGCAACACTTAGGCAAATGAATCGCATGCTTCACACTTGCTTTTATTATCATTTGTCAGTACGACTGCCATACACCTTTTCTTTACCAGTAAAGACATCATGGAATCTTCACTTTTTAGACAACTAATAATTTATATAATTAAGCAAAATTCTTCTTACAATTTTCGTTTGTATTTTCCACTAGTGTTTCATACCCTCATCTATAATGTTTGTTCATTTTCGAGTGCATGAGCCATGAACAAAACGAGAATATATTTTAAGAAACATGAAGTTCAAAAATTAGGATAACTTTTTTCTTTTATCTTTTTATCCCCCTCAGCAATTTCTGAATTTTCCAGGCATATTACTAAAATTTTTTGCTTTTATTTTTTTGAAGGTCAAAATGGTAGCACTCTAGCAGTGATTGCGCCAGCAAGAGTCAGTAATCCTGGAACATATTTAGTACATTACAACCTTATAGGTAACGTCAAACAAGAAGCTTCTAATCAGGGAATGTCCATTAGTTCTACAGACGGTATAACTGTAAGCAGGTAATTATTTGTACTTTAAATTAGGAAGTTTCATAGTCCTTATATATATAATTGCTTTCTAAAAATTTCAAGCAAATTTCTTATTTGTAGTTACCAACAAACCAATCAACTTCAAATGGTAAACACACAAGTTTCATGTGAATACAACACTTTGCGAGATCATGGATTGTTGAATGGGTCGAATAGTGACAGAAATACGAATGCTCTTTCATCGTCTACCACAGGTTTCACTTTCAAACAAAACTTATGTGAGTATTTCAGTTACCTACATTAGGTTTCACTTTCGACGCCAAAAGTATTTTGGTATTCATTTGGTCGTTCGAATCGGGTATTGTTTCCAGCTTTTATTTCATATTTATTTGAAAGCATTGAGAAGCTCATTTATTCATCTTGTTTCCTTTGATATACACATTTCAGTTTTTATGCTCTCAATTTCCATTCTTTAGAAATCTTATTTCGCTTTTCGAATTTTGTAACTTTTTATTTTTCACAGATATTCAAATTTGCTCAGTATCTAATTACAAAAGAGGAATTCTTTTTCTATACTTCTTAGAAATCCTATTTAGTTTATATAATTTATGGTCTTTGCTAAGGTAATTATCGTTTTATCACACTTAAGAGTTGATCCTTGAGATTTAACTATGCGACTCTATTATGATCCAATATTATGTTTAAGGTTTAAATTATTTTAAGATAATGGAAGTCCATGTTCGTCAACAGCAAGTAGTGAGATAGACGTTGGAACAGCAACAGCTTCGCATTCTAGTCAAGTTGTTTTGCAACAGCGGCAGCGACAACCTCTAGCGCAGCACCCGTCCAGTATGGTAATGTTGACTACCGTCCAGTCGCAGCAGGTAATTATAAGAGATTGATAATGAAATTCGTTGAAATTTCAACACAGTTTAGTTCCACACATTAAAAAAAATTTCATAAATAAAAAGAAATCAAATGCTTCAAAAGCTCATGAAAACAGGCAGGTGTGTTAGGAACAAATAAAACTTCATTACTGGTATATGTTTCGTCAAATTTTCAAGTACTTATTAATTTATCTTTTTAGATGGCATCACCTCAGCAGCAGCAACAACAACCCATTTTGTTACCTAAAGTAGAATCAAGGTCAAGAGTAGGACAACAGTTACAAACATCCGATGGCGGAGTAGTAACAGTTACCGCACGAGGTGTAGCACCGGTGACTAGTGTGATTAAGAAGGATGTTAACGTCAGGACAAGTGAATTTTACCACTCTTCAGTTAGACTATTATTATTTCACATTGTCCTGATCGGAAGCTGCTTGTAAAATATATTTTCGTGGGGTGCTTTTGCAATTCAAGATTACTTTATGTTATTCTCACCTCTAGATGATGGCGGTACTGTGACAATGATTATTGATCCGACAACTTTTTACCAACATGGGTCGCAAAAAATGTAAGTGTTTAGAATTTATTACGAGTAACTGTAGGATTTTTTTTTTCTTTTTTCAATTTTGATTTTTGTAAATCAGATGAGTTAATTGCGGACTTCTATTCGGATTGAATCTATATTCAGATTTTCGTACGCATTTGTTGGGTTTTAAAATTATGAAATTTAGTTTTCAAAAATAGACTGATCGGTTTTATAAAGGTCTGTTTATTTTGCAGGTATCGGTTAGTAAATGTGTCAGAATTGAATACTGATGCAGTATCTACGAATAACGGCTTGTCGACAGTTTGTGGCGAATTGAAGATAGTGGGTATTCCACAACGTAGAAAACGCGTTGCAGCAATTAGTGTGCAAGGCATGTCAAATGGTCGTGGACAATTAGGCGACGAAGTTCTGGATGACGTGGTTTCCGAAAAAACTGTTACTATCGATCAAGGTCCGATATTATTTATAATGCCGAGATTTAAATTAACAGTCACTGGTTCCTTATTTTTTTTGGAAGCATAGATTTCAGGAACAATACCAGGGAATGAGAAAATAGTTTTGGATCAACGACCCGCTACTTTTGCAGGAGGCACAAATATCTTGGGTCATAGCGTGCAACAGCAACAGGTTTATAGTTTTTTCCGATATTTCTGAACACTTCTTTTTTGGCCTCCTCGAATTAATTTTACGAAATTCGAATATATTTTGAAGAGGAAACATTTTTGGGGATCGTATTTTTTTTTTTTTTTTTTTTTACAGTTACACCAACAACAGACTCCGAACAGCTCGCATTCACATCCAGGAATCTCTGTTTCACCGCATCGTACCACTATATTGACAGCACCTCATGCTGCTCAGTTAGGTATGATATAACTTATAGTATCGACTAGTAACACAAAGTTTTTTAGAAGCTTGCAACAGCCTGCGAAAGATATTGATTGATTGGGATTAGCTTTTTTCTGTGTTTGCTATTAGAAGAGAAGTCTTGCTCTCTTGCTTCATTTCTATTAATTTGAAGAGAGCAACCGTGGGATTCATTTGATTCCAGGGTTGCCACAGAATTCTTCGATACCGTTGCGACAGCAGGCTGGGCATCGATTCGTGACACAAGCTGTTTTAGTAGAACATCCGCACTATGCTGTATTACCAAGCCAGTCATTGCAAGAAGAACATGACGCTAATCTTGCATTTGCCAATTCAATAGCTAATTATTTGTCAAGGTTAAATGAGGATGAGGTTAATTATTAGTAAATCTGATCATTAAAAAAATTTCTTTTTTTATTGGACTTACATTTGATTGCGTTTCAGTTGAAATTCTGTCCCAAGATTCTCACATTTCTATCAGCAGTTTGTATAAATTATTAGCGATATGCAGAGCAATCTTTGGAACATAGAGAAAATATTTGCTAAAAATCCGAGATCCTAATTAAACTTTTTGATATGAATTCATGTTATGCAACAACTTTCAATACTGTTTTGTTTTTTAGAAGGCAGTGGCGAAAATGAATATTCAACGCATACTTATGGATGCACGATTTGGTTTGGGTGCTTGCGCACGAATGATCCATGATGAAGAATTGAATGAAGCTGCTGTTGCTGCTGCTGTGGTGAGCTCCGCTTCCCATGATGTTGGTTCGACACGACAGCATGTTGATGGTACGTCACAACGACTAAATTGACCATAGCAAGCATTAAATGTTTCGAAACTTGTAAAGTGAATTCAAATCGAATGTGTGGCTTTGTGAAGGATGTAGCAAAAATCGGTAAAAACTTTAGAAAATCCAAATTTATGTTTTTTTTTTTTTTTTTTTTTTACCAACAAGCGACTAGTTTTTCAAATTTGATAAAGTCGAAATTTAAGGAATGAAATTAAAAAAAAAAATGGAAAAAATTATGCATTAATAGTAGTTCTACTTTGTGATTGGAAATGAGTGCTGTTTTCTCAGGATCAGGATTGATTTTAAATATTTTGTTTTAAACTGTGGCATAAATGTTTTAAAAAGCGATATAACCGATGTAAGTTTGCTTCTTGATCTGTTTTTCAACTTATTAGATTGATACCCAAGTGTCACTTACGCAGAATTTGGAAAAGAAAAGCGAATTTTTACGATTTTTTTTTTTTTTTGGTAAAATCATTCTTTTGTGCTTCCAAAATGGTACCTGTAAATTTAGGTCATAATTTGCCAAGTTTATAAATAATTGAAGGGATTAAGATATACAAAATCACTTTTGTCATTTGAATTCTGAAAATTTCATAGATTTTTTAAATTTAGGTTTCATTTGTTACTTTGCAGCGTAAGTGATACCAATTTGGTACTTGCGTTATGTAAATGTTTCCATATTGTATGGTTCTTTTTTATATAACCTCATGCAGACTGTTACATAATTTGATCTCATGTTTGATGACTAACTTTTCTGTAAGTTGTACATTCTTGATGACTATTTGCAGTTATGTTCGAAGTTCCATATTTATATAATTATTATTTTTTTTTTGCAATTATGTTAAAAGGACATCCCAGATCCCAATTTTCTGCGAATAGTATTCTGCGCATGTTTTAAAGAAATTCTGAGGTATTTTTGGTATACATGCGTAAAGTTCCTCAGATTTTTTTAGAGATTTTTTAGATATGAATGAAAGAAGTAAATTACCAGCGAAGCACAGAACACGAACTTGGGAACTATCAGGCAGTCAGTTTAGAGGAATTTAAAGAAAATAATTTCCCCTTTTTTCTCATTTTATTTTCTATGCCTCTTCAGTTTATTTAGAAGTCCTACTGCCTTTCATTTCTGCTTTATAAACCTGTCATATTTGTTATCATTTTGTTTGCAGTATTTATAGAGTTTTTTGCGTGATTACTTTCCTATTTGAGCAGTTCGTGGTTATTTGTTTTAATTATTTAGCCTTCCATCACTAATCTTTCAGACATTCCAGAAATTTTCTTAAACGAATTTTATTCTCGTAAAAATATACTGAATCCTGAACTGAAATCAACTATGCTTTCTTTGCTCATTCGGTCCAGATCTTGTTCTTGTTTGACGGAATTGAGTAAGCACGTTCATCTTTGTCTGACATGGTTAGCTACTCGGAATAGTGAAATAGCAGAAGCACTTGCTTATCTTGTTTATTGTGAAGTTGAGCGACCCAGAATACTTTTTATAATTTGTTGTGGGGTTTATTTTGCTTTATTTGCAATTTTTTTCATTTTTTACTTATTAATATGTGGTATATTTACTGAGGCGCGGTAGGAGTATGTGGAAAGGTACTCCAAAACTTCGCTACTTTGTAGAATTTTTCCAGTGTACTCCAAACTCATTAAATGTTTTTTTATATCTTAGATTGGATTGTTCTACCATTTGCTTCTTTGTTAAGATGCACTGTGTTAAGCGATGTTAATAGTTTTTACCATTAGGGGATCTTAATAGAGTCGATTTGAAATTCCTCTCCTTGAGACATTTCACTAAATTTCTTATAAGCACGCAGTAGCTGGATATGTTTTTTAATTAGGTGCATCCTAACACAAGCTTGTCCTGTTGTATAACATACAACTGTACAGTATTTCTTGTGTTTTTTTTATCTGTGCACAGTGCCAAAGGTTTCGCATTTCACTGCGATTATGTAACAAATTTTGAAATAATCACAAATTTAAAGTCTTCCATCTTTGCTGACTTCGATGGTTATTACTATCGAGTACACTTCGTTATTTGTTGTTAAACATACGACGGCGAATTCTCTTCTAGACTGAACTTCTAAATTATGCACTAAGTTCAGTATCGTGATTGCGCATATAACGGTCATCGTAATTTGCTCACAGCTCTTGGTTAGAAAATTGCTTTAATCTAATGTTTGAAGAAGATGTGCACTTGTTTTCGTAAGTCCGACTACATGCTGTTTTTTCAGTTTGGGCAATTATATAAAGAATCGCGGTTGACCACTTTGCGAGTAAAATTGTTAGAACTGATTTGCAAAATTCTCGAGTACCGTTACTACGCTTAGGTCCGTTATTTTCTTTGGTGGAACTTCTGCTTCTGTTAAAGAAGTTTAGACGTTTCTCGACGAAGGGCTTTGTTCATCTCTGCTTACGCATTGGATAATCTTGAAAAACAGTGATTGTTTATTACTTTAATCATAATAGGGCAAGTTTCCAGGGAATAAAGATGGCAGGTGTACTATGTAAATGGGCATGCACCTGTCCTCGACTGCGTGCTTCATCGTCAGTGTTTGGTAGGAGTGGACAGTTTATCGGTCAAAAAAGGACAATTGTTGAAAAGAATAAATTAAAACTTGATCCTGATGCTTATCCAGAACCGTGGCCCTATAAACAGAAGGGGTATGCACTTTTTCTGTGTTTTGTTCAGTGGTGAAGATTATTACTGAAGGACAGTTATTCAAAAGGCATCATTTATTTATGAGTCGATGATTAGGCAGGAGGTCATTTTTCTGATTTGAAATTTTTATCATTCAGATATCGATGGCAACATGTTCTTGTTGATCGAACACTGAAAAGATTTCATGAAAATTCGAAGTTGATAGTGGTTGAAGGGAACATTGGTTCAAATAAGGTAATTTCTAATGAAAAAAAGGTGACAACTGAATCACTGTTGCTTCTGACTCCCTTTAATCTTTCTATAAAATCTGAGGTTATCATCATATTATGGAACTGCTTAGGGTCAAATCTTGCGCTTCTAAAAATTTCATGTAAATGATGAAGTTTCATGATGGAGTCAGATCTATCTAAATCTCGTATTTAATGTATTTAATGATTGGTGCTATATTTCGCTTGTATTTTATGATTTTTGAGGCATTCTTTTTAATTGTTTTTCCTCCATCTTCTTTATTCTGTCTAAAGCATGAATACCGTAGTATTTATCAACGAGGTTTCTTTCAGGATTTAGTTTCTTCAGGATCTTATTTAAAGGGTAAAATTAGCTCTGAAAACTCACATAAATAGAATGAAGTATCTCAAAAAAAAAAAATTGAAAGGAAGAGCAAAGATTGAAAAATAAAAAAGTTTCTAAGTTTGTTTTGGATAATTCCATCCTCATATCGTACATGATTTTAGTCGGATATGGCTTGTTCACTTGCTGATCGATTAGGTTTTCATTTTATTCCGGAATTTCAAATGGATGAGGTTCTGGTAGATCGTTTTGGCAATGATTACAGAAATTACTATCATTTGGTTAGTCTTGTTACTTTTGGCTAAAACAGTTTTTATAAGTTATTTTAACGAATATTTGATTAAGCACTCATTTGTGCAATTATATGTTGATTTAGAAAATATTACGGTGTCAGGCTTAAAAGAGATCGGAATATTTTTTAGAAGCAAAAATTTCTTTGCATGTAATGCTGCTTATGGTTAAACTGTTTAAAGTTTTTTACATGTACAAAAGTTGTGTCTTTAGTAATGATGAGTATTGCAATGATTTTTTTCCATTTCACTCATTTTTTGTTAATTATTTTCGATTACAGTTTCCAAAATCTTTCCGTCTGTTTGACATGAATATGTTCTACAAGGATCCCGGCAACGACGAGACAGCAAAGATGCGTGACCGTATTCTTAGATGCAAATTCGACCAATATTTGAACGCTATAGCACATATTATGAACACTGGTAAGAATTCAATTATTTAAATGATAATGTTAAGAAATTCAAGTTTTGTAGCTTATTTATGAGAGTTACATACTTTTAATGAAGTTATCTTGATAAGTGAATGTCTTCGTTTTTAGAATAAAGTAATAGAATGCTCTAAGCTTATACTTCAATGTACTTGAAATATGAAATGAAATTACTTAACATTATTTGTTGTCCTGAATTACATACTCTCCAATCTCATATTGTTGTTATCGCCTGATGGAAAGATAATAACAGTAATCATTCTCGCAGAACTCAGTAAAGTCACTGTTTTTTTTTTTCCATTTTTTAATAAACATGGTATGTACGATAAAAGTCAGACGTATTTATTTCATGATATTAAGCCACTTCCGAGAAAAGAGTGCTGTAGTGACTTTAGGGATGAGAGGATGATACAATAAATCAATACCAAGAATTTGTATTGGATTGTTTCACTGTTTTAGTTACTCTACGGTATTTCATTTCCAGGTCAAGGTGTTGTTTTGGAACGTACTCCACATACTGACTTTATTTTCGCCAATGCATGTCGTGCTAAAAATTATATTGGACCAGAATGTAAGAAAACACTGATTAACTCAGTAGTTTCTTTTTTATTCAGGATTTTAATATTGTATGTAATTCAAAATCATCTAATATTGCTTTTCATTTGTAATTTAGTGCACTTTCGTTTTCTAATTTTCAAGTATTTATTTTATTGTTTTCAGTTCACAGTCATATATACTGATTCTCAGCGTTTTTAGTTAAAAGCAAGGGAGAAAATCAGATTACAGTTAAAATTCAATGGTTCGTAGAAGGGTTGCAATTGATCTATTGAAGCAGTTAGTATGTCACGCTTTTATCTTTTTTAGATTTCACCTATTATTACATCGAACGCAAGAATATGATACCAAATTGCCGTTTTTGGCCACATCTGGTTATTTATTTAGATGTGCCGGTAGATAAATGCCTGCAGAACATCTATCAGCAGGGAAATGTCTGTTTTTTTTTTTTTTTTTTTTTTTTTTTTTTGTGTTTGTGTGTGTTCTGATGAACAGCTTCTGAATTCATATTCTCTTTTTTTCACTTTGTAATATTTACAGAACTCAGTTGTTTGCAAATGATTATTGTGTACTTAAATGAATGGCACACTTGTAATTTTTTCTCATCTCATAAAAAAAACAACTTTTTTTTCTGTAATTTCAGGCAGACAAAATAGCAATTATTGATCAGATTTATTTGCAAACAATCGAGGATTCATATAAAGATGCTTTGAAAGAATTTAGGTTCATTTACATCCTTTTTGAATTCAAGTAAAATCAGTGTATAAGATATCCTGTTGAGGTACGCTAAAGGAGCGTCGCAAAGAGATTTCGAAATGCTGAAATCTTTTGTAGTTCTTGGTGGCAAGACATAATCTGACTTTCATTGTAGGAAGCATTCCGAAATATTGGTTTATGACTGGACAGTGCCTGGAAATGTGGATAACGTCGTGGAAGATATCGAAGATATGGATTTTGATTTCTTTGAACATCACAGAAGTGACGTTTTCGGAACTTGGGAAAACGGAAAAAACGAACTGGAGTACTCCATTGCACGAAATTTGTATATTTTACTTTTTTCTTTTCGTAATGCGTTGGCGTACCTATCAGTAGCTTGATTGTCGTTTAACAGCGTTGGCGTACTTGATTGTCGTTTAACAACTATAGGTGCCATATATTTTAATATCATGTTACATGGTATGAAATTCAGTGTTAATTGGAGTACCACTGAAATAATGATCACTATGAAACTAAGATTTTAGTGTAACAGACAAGAGGGAAGCACATGCGTTAGCATTTTTGGGTCTTCCTGATCATGAGTGTGGCGAATTATATCAAAGTCCTCGAGAGATTGGGCGCTACATTCAGTGTATTCATAATGAGGTTTGATATTTGAAAATTTTTTCTTTGAGTAGCTTAATTTGATTGTTTTTCACTTATTTACTTATTTTCATAGCTTGCTAATTAAACTTAAGTTCTTATTTCTTCTCTATACTTCTCACTCCTTAATAAATGTGTTTTGTCTCTGGAACGCACTCACACTTAAATCATGCTACTGCTCTGTATAATTAATTGAGCAAAACTTTTTTTCAGATTCTGAAAACACCATATGTTTATTCAGCAATCAGAGATAAAGGGGATAAATTTGGATGGTTCAGCAAAGTAAGCACATTCACTAAAGGTGAACCATGGTAAGTTGTTTACATCTTCGTTGTACCCAGCGTGATTTATTGTATAATTTATTAATAGTAAATGACACAAACAAGTGATAGCAAATAAAAGCAAACATAGAAATGCAGTGCTATTTTTAATTTTTCCGATTGTAAGAAACTTTTTTAAGAAAACTTCGCATATCATTCGCATATCATTCTGGCTTTTTAAAATTTGTTGCATGTTCTGGACTTCTAGCAAATTTTCTAACTTGGTTTTCAGGTTTGAGTATTATTACAAGGATGCATATCTAGAAGATCTTGTTGGTGTCCAAGAAGTAATCGCTGACCCAACACATCAGAGTTACTACAATCAGATTCATAATGAACACTAAGTTTTTCATGAGTTTGTGACGTCCACATTGTGTACCTCTTTTGTGCAATTTTAATTCACCGGGAAGATTTGAACATATGATATCGTGTATAAAGATTGATATTATAAAGATTTGTATAAAGTGTGATCAAATTAATTTGCAAAATATAAATCTGAATGCGAAAATAGATAATGCAGTATTTTAGTGTTATTCTACCAAAATGGTCAGGATTTTTTAGCTGAAGAATAACCTGATATATATATAAATGTATGGAAGGTGATGAAGAAAGGAAATTTTGAATTAGATGAAATGTGCTTTCGTGCTGTTTTGTGAAATGGTTGTTTTTTTCGTCTTTTTTAGTTTGTTATTGCTATGTTTCTTTTTTTTTCAATTTTTTTTGTGTACCAACTAGTTTGGCTTTCAGGTTAGATTTATTTGATTGTTTAGTAAGCATTTACTTTTTAATTCCATTGAGTTATTTGAGTTGCAGTACTATATATATATATATATATATATATATATATATATATATATATATATATATATATATATCTTTCTTTTTCTTTTTTGATAAAAATGTTAAGGCTTGATATTTGTTGTGTTTTAGATAGCTTGCCATATGGCGATTCTAGATGGTGTAAGGTTTTGATGATAGCGATAAATTTCAAGCGAAACCGGTAATCAGAAGTAGAGTTGACTGTTTGCTTAAGACACAAAACATTAGGGTGGGAATTCATGTAAACACTTTTAGAAAATTTGTTGTTGATGATAGGTCCAATTCATGTCGTCATTGCAACCAGTCTCAATAAAATTGCTGCTAGATAAATAAGAGAAGCTACACCAATTCCGCTCTTCATGGAGACATGTCACTGAAAAATGCACTTTTCATCAGTTAGATCAAATGCCTTTTTAGTGGGTCAGCTGCTGTTTCTTGTAGAAAAGGTCGAAATCTAGCTTTTCATACATGTTTTTTTCTGGGTTATCAAAAAACAATCAGTTTGCTAATTTGTTGTGTTGAACCTTTACAAAACGGCTAACATGCATTACGATCTTAATTGATTTGCCAGACAAAGCAACAACCATATGATCCAATTTGATGGATCATACTTTCCATCCATATCAAAGGGAATGGTTTAAATCAAAGCATGAATGTAGTACTGAACTCATCACTTAGTAAGATTGGATTTCACCTCATTTTTCTTATGAGTACCCTTAGTTCCCGTCATTTCACAAATTTCTGCTCGGACCGTGAAACAGAAAATTTCCTTTATTGTGTGCTATAATTGTGCGTTTCGAATAATATTACGATTTTCTGAAACATTAGGGATTTTGTAATCCTAAGTGTTGAAGCCCAGTTATTTTCACATCCTGAAAGCTGTAGGAGTCAAGAGTGATCTTTAATTTAGCAAACACAATCTTTATTGTGAAGCAACTTGGTAATAAAAGATAATTTCAAAGTACTACAACTTAAAATGCAAAAGATATTTTTACGTTGAGAATTAATTCGTGCTACTTGAAATGCAACAAATATCTTGGGAGAAAAAATGGAAGAAACTTTCCTAACGAGATGTACAAAAGGGTGAAGGAAAAAACAGTATCGAAAATTTGCATATAAATTTGTAAAAAATAATTTCATAAATGTTCAAAACTACCAGGAGTTCATCATTTGAAGCGATGCAATCCCTTTATTCTGGCTCGGACGTGGAAGCTAACAAAGCGAATGCACTGTAATTGGATTCTTTCAATTCTTGATTAACCGCCATTGTAACTTAAATGTTTGCAAGAGACTATGCAAATGCGAATTAGACTCATTAGTAAGACGGTATCAACCATTGCCTTTGGATGGACTGTAATGCTCGCTTGTTATATAAGATTTTGATGAGCCTTTAGCAGCTTATCATTCAGGATTTCAAAAAAAAGTCAGTTTTAAGGCTTGTGGGAACAAACTCGCCGAATCCCACTTGGTTTCATTTCGTCGTATCGATACACGCAATTTCGGCTCTTAGTCTATGTGTTTTCACAGTGCTGGGCTATGTTGCCAGTACCATTCCGATGACACTTGTTGTTCTCTTCATCTTCCAGACGTTCATGGCCATTCTTGGTCTTGCAGCAATTGAACAAAGTCGCCGAGGTCCATTTACTATTTTTTAAGAACTGACCAGCATGTGACAGTTAATTACAATGCCAATCATTCAATTCACAAGGATTAACTACTGATCGTCCAATCTATTTATTTATTTACTGAATTGAGATTTGTATAAGATACAAATGGTCGAATTAAATACCGCTTGCAGATTATCGTTCATTATATATTGCTGTAAATATTGTAACTGCTGGGTCAGCTATTATCTGGTCAATATTTCTTTTCATAAAAATGAAGGAGTACCCGATATATGTGCCTGTTGTATTCCTTATCATCGCGCTTTTCTCAGTTTGTTTTGTACTTGCAAAATTGCTGTATTTAAGCTCACTCGTTTGCTCTTCATTCTGAAAATAAATTGATAAAGAAGAACTGTTAAAAAATTTCTCATCTCTAAATGAGTCATTCGTTTATTCTACCTAGCCAATTTAATTCTTTCATACCCGCACTTATCCATTATTAACAATATCTTTTGCATTTATATACAATTAGTCTTACATAGACCTTTGCTTTACTAAACTGTTTTTTGTATCCTAATAAATTTCTCCATGCTTCAATCAAAATGTTAAAATATAGTGTACGTTTTTGTTGTATGATATACTTCTTTCTTTATAGCTGCTTGCAACAATTCTGTTGATATTTTTCCCTGATAAAAGAATACCGCAAAGTTTTGAAAAAGTCATATGCTTGGATCTTTTCCCTTTCGCTAAATTATTCTGTGACACTAACAGAATGTCGAAGAAGGCAAACACAAAAAGTAAATCTTTCAAAATCATTTCGCATTATTTTTTAATTATTTCAGTATAATATGTTAAGGGTGCAATGACAATTCGATAAAACATGACGCACATGGAATGAGGGGCAGTGTGGCAGTAAAGAGATGAAGCCCTCATCGGTAGAGTAAGTCATCGTGTAATAGGTAAGAGCATTTTCATGCATACGTTAACTGCTTCCACTTCTTTTTTCGGTGGCAAAAAATTTGATGACACGCGACCAAAAGGGAAGAGAGAAGTAAATGCCGCGCAATCAGTAGGAGTGAAGGAAGAAAATTCCGTACAATTAATAGAAACAAAGGAAGTGAATTCTAACGAATCTCTGAATGGCTCGATAAAGTCCGTTGGAGTGAGTAACTTTTACTATAGATTTTGGAACACGAAGTGCCATCTGTTTTAGCAAAAAGGACTTTAGGAACAGCTGCTGAAGACCGTAATTAATTTTGCAGGTTTAATCAGACAAGCTTTAATTTTCATTTCCAGTCACAGGATCAACAAAAGGACAGCTCTATAATGAAAGTCAGTGCCAGTATGACTGAAAGCGTACAACAACAGCAAAATATAACAGAAACAAGAAATGAAGAATTCCCAAAAAGATCAAGGATAGCAGCAGGGGCAGAAAGAGATGGTGGTTACTTTACACGAATTTCAACCATGAAACTTCCGTTATTTTGAATTTTGATTCAATATACACTGAATAAAATTCTTAGAAAAGATAAAATAATTAAAATTTCCGCTTTTAACAATTCAATCTTAAAAACATTATTTCAGTGAAAGAAGGCATAAAGCCAGTTGTCCAGTTGGAAGAAATAAGTAATGAAACAAAAAACAGTGCGGTGTCGTCATACGTGAATCATCCATCAGAAGTATTTTCATGTGTCACAGACCTGATCGTCAGACCTGATCGTCAGAAACGTAGCCTAAACCATTCTTTTCTTTCAGGGGCATTGCCTTGTGATTGGTAGTAATTGGCGTGAATTTTATGCCATACCAATCTTGAACGCATGCAATGTTCCTCTATGCTCAACTGGTCGAACTGGTCGTGATCGCTTCCGCAACAGACTGCTTATCAAGAAGTGTCGTAACAAGTAGTCCTTTTCTGATGACTTCGCAGCCAACTTCTGCGAAAATCTTCAAATTTTTTATTAAACAATTCAATTAAATATTTCAGAAAAAAAAAACGCAAAATTATCCCAAAATTTTCTCCACTGGAAAAGAATATATTCGAACACTGTCCACAGAACAACGCCAAAAGCAAACTTTAAAAAGTAATTCATTCAGGACTAACATTTAAACGATGATTTAGAAAGATATTAGCAGTAATCGACTGCAACAGTTTATTTTTCAGTAGATTTGTGGAGAAAGATCCTTGTGATAGTCATCTAAAATAGCATCTGTCTCCTTGGTTTACTTCTTGTTATATCCCTACTTTTTTAAATAATGCTGTCTTTCGTGTTTATCTAAATAAAATGACTATGCCATCGTTTCCTCTTATTGTCACTGTCGGCTTTCTTTGGTGACATGGTGGTGACTACAATATTGAGTGAAAGAAAAAAAGAGTCCAGCAAAAGAAAAGAAACTGGTAAAAGAAATAAGAAGGAACAAAACATCTGATAGTAAGGGGAGCGTCAAAGATGTGCCAACGGTAAGTACTGAGAATGGAACGTAGTGGAGCGGTGATTTTCATAATGGTCAGTCGGTGCTGCTGAAAGGTACGTTAGGAATACGCGGTGGTTTTGATTGGCCGAGAGAATTATGTTTTGGGCAGAGTTCAGTGGGTTGTTGGTATTTTATATTGGGAGGTGCGAGGTAAGAGTTTTGGAAATTAGAACTATACTGAGATGTTTGGTGTGAAAGTTCACTTCTGTTAGTACTGTTATGGACAGTAAATAATTCGTACGTATGCGTGGCGAACAGTGACAGTTTGATTGTCATTACCTCACTAGTTACCGTGCTGACTTGGATTATTGCATCTCTCTTGCTTTATTTTATCCCATTTTGTTTTATTAATTTAAATCAGTCTAAATCATCTTACCTTATTTTGTTATCATCCAAACAGTAATTAGTGGTACACATTGAAATGATTTGTATCAACTTGATTAGGAGTAATTTTGAATTTCTTTTCCAGAATTAAGTTAATTTAGTGATGAGAAAAAACAACGAACCGAGAATTTAAATGGCAGAAAATACTACTGCTCAGCCATCGACATCACTTTCTTTCTTCAGCGATAGTTTTATCATAAAACGTGGCAAAAAACCGCTTCATTCAATGGAATTTATTTTGGATTTAGAAGATGAAAATAGCCGTTTGCAACTTGAGGTTTCTTCCTTTTTCCACTTTATAAGTAATATAGAAAAAGGGAATGGTTATAGCTTATCAAATTTCTGTACTACCTGGTCGCAGTTTCGAAGCTTTATATGTTGACATCAAAATTAAACATTTGACTCCAGTTTTTTTTCCTTCTGGTTACAGAGAGACATCAAGTTTCTTGGTGGGAAAGTTTTGGAATCGCTTGACGATGATGGTGAAAAGCCTTTTTGTGTTGTTACCGACCATCCACATGCACGGTACTTGGAAAGGGTAACAAAAACGAAAAGAATTACATCCGAGGTAGAATTATGTGCGAATAATTACACCCGAACATTCTATAAATTGATGCCTTGAGATATATGACATTTCGTTTTTTATGAGGGAATCACTTGTTCTGTACGAGAAATATTATTACTTCCTGTTAAGATTATATGCTGTTATTGACTGACTGTGCAGTGTCTTTTCCCGTGGTAAGCTTATGACAGTATATATATGTAACACTTAATTTCACAAAGCATTATTAATCTTTATGTTCGTTTCTGTATTCTTTCAGTACTGCAGTTGTTTGCCAGTATTGCTCCGAGTTGCCGTACAAAACGGTGTGCGTGTTCGAACATATACTTCTTTCCTTCAAATCTTATCAAATGTGAAAAACCGCATTAAGTTGAATCAGAAAGCGAAATTAGCTCCTATAAAACCAAAACTGGAAAAACAGGTATGTTGTTTCAAAACGTTTCAGAAGGTGTTTTGGCAAGTATTTGGCTGCTTCGTTAAGAGTTAGGAGTAGCACATATTTTTTAACTGTTTGAATTGATATAAAGAAATATAAAGATGAGCATTCACTGTAGATCATGACATTTCTGCAGGCTATTATGTTCAGATGAATTAGAAAGGAGATGCGGAGTTTCAGTTGTTTGTTGTTAGTAATAAGAGAGCACATACTTTCGCGATTGTATACCTAAATAATCAAATGTCATTATTTGGTTCAAATGATAGGATAGTTTAATGTCTAATTTTTTCCACTATTTTCACTTTACAGAAAAGCATACGCAAGTTAACACCACCATTCATCAAATTTGAAGATAACAGTCTCCAGTATGCGCCTTCTTGGAAGGAATATGGAATACCTTCTAATTTTCGGCCAATTTATGTTGGTGAAGCAGCCGGAAGATCGATATTTCATAAAGCTTCTCCAGAATATTTAAAGCGGAAGTACTGTTCTTTGTAGATTCCAAATCTTATTACTTTTCTTTTTTCCACCAATCATTTGCTTCAGGAAACTGTTCAGACAAACAGAGTGGAAATAAACTAAGCTTGGTTTTTAGTTGACTGTCTTAGTTGATTTCCTGTTTTTTACCATTCTCTCACCTTAGGGAATTAATTCCATTACTGTGAACTAATAAGTTGTCGAACTTTTCCAGGAAGGATATGAAGATTTCGAAGCCTCGAGCAAAAAGTCGAGTTGGGCCTGGATTCTGCGATATTTGCACACGTGATTGCCAAGATTTGCAGCTGGTAGGTTTATTTTGATTATCTACAATTTTTCGTGGCTTTCAACTAAAACCTTTTCGGTTTTCATCACATTCTTCAATACACCATGAGTTTTACTCATAAGATTAAATGTTTAGTTCGTTACTTTTTGTTAATAGAAATAATACTTCATAGATCATTAAAGTGTCACTATGACCTACGGGTGTGATGGTTAAAATTCCATGTGTGGTGATTAAAGTACAATAGACTTAGGAGTATTAATTCTTAATTTTTAATTTCAGCATTTTTTATGCAAAGAGCATCAAACACGTATCAGTACGCCTGGTTTTTACGATGAGGTTGATGCATTGTGCGGTTCATTTGTAAAAGAAATCGTCGTACCGAATAAAAGACTTCGAGAACGATTGACACCGGAACCGCTTTCACTGCCATCCAATCACTTTCTTGACTCTACACTTTCTTTTCGGACACCTGATAGTAGAACTGAAATTTAAACGGGTTATTTGATAGTTCGTTCAGGACTTTCCTAGCTTGTTTTTGTTCTTCCTAAAATTAAAATCAACTAAGAATTCTGTAAAAATTCATCTTTTTTATTAAATTTGATTTTTCGCGCTTTTTTTTTCATTTACTTTTAAAAAAACTGTAAAACGATCATTATATTGCTCCTAGTAAATTTTAATGACTTATCCCCCATACCATCATACCATCGTGACTTTGTGTATTCTTACTAGCGAAATCCTGTTTCGAATTTTGGTTATCCCATTTTTTCTTTGTTCTCTTTTATCTCCTTCATTCTTTGATTTCTAACCACTGTTAAGGTGCTTCTTGCTGATGTTTCCGTTTAGTGCGTATCTTAAGAAACTTGTATTTTCAATTGAACCATCCTTTAAATCATGTACAAAATGATTATGCCTTCTTGATGTATCTTCATAATATTTTTGATTTCGTTACTTTTTTGCATGACTTTTTTTCTTTTCGGGATATTTGGAATGTTTGATGTCTGACATATTCATATTTAATATGCGTTACTCATATGCTGAATTTTTAATGTCGTAGCGGGTGGCTGCTTTGTAAATGCCTCTAGCACAGCAGTAGTGTGCGTTGTCTATTACAAAGTGAAAATTTTCCTAGCGTGGTTACGAAGGTTACTAATCTAATACATATTACGCAATATTAGCAACTTCCCTTTAAAAGGTAAAAGATTTATTGTAGTATGTGCAAATAAACATTCTTTAAAAGTTCAGAATGATCTATGTGTTCAGGAATATGGCACAGCGTTTGAGTTTTGTTTTGTTTTCTAAGTTTTATTTCGTAAATTTTTGTTGAAGATTTTTAGTTTCCAATTTGCCGATCGTAGCACACTGCCGAATCGCCGAGTAGCTCATACTCATATAGTTTATCATAGGGATTTTGGATATATTACAGGCATCTTAGAGTATTCCACTGTAGTGATGCAGAGTTAGGCAAGATTTTGCTGTAAAGTCTGTGTCTGTATTCTGTCCATTCTTGCATTAACTCGTGAAATATAATGAGTCTGGAAGATGTTAATACTCTTAAGTTTATTACTGAGTTCGTTTGTTGCTACTTGCTAATGATGACCAAGCACAAATGAGTAGAACTCATTGAATGTATTTGGAAATTTGAAACTATAACCCTTTGTGAGCATCAACAAGAATCACAGTAACACGAGGTAGTCAGTCGCGAAAACTTCGAGACAATTTTGCTGGACGACGAATTAAAACACAGACAAATTTCGATTGTTTGGTGCTCAGGACCGGCATTCAGTCGATGTATTTATGAATTTTTTAGGATAATAATGAACTGTACAAAACAATACAAACAAAAATGCGAATTTCTCCAACAGAATAGAAGTTTTTATGGTAGCTGGGGCAAAAGTCTTGGAAATCTGAGCTGGAAATAAAGCGACCATATACGTCAACATAAGACTAGTCACTTTACATAGTTAAATTATGAAATTAAATTGGAATAATGACTTTCAAGAGGCAACGGAATTTGAATGCCAAACACAACTTAGATTAGCTCTAGTGAACATAAGTGGCATGATGAAATTAATAACAATATAAAAGCAAGAAAACACGGATTCATATTTTCAAATTTAGCATCCATCTTAACAAGACACATGACTGTGCAGAAAACTGCAGCGTAGAGTGAGAAATGGGACAGGACAGAGACTCGAATATAAGATTAACGAACATATTAAGCTGAAACCAAATTCATTCATGCAAAAAAGGCATTTTCAATAACAATGAAAAGTAAACATCGGATAAAAAATCAACAATCAAGAATACATAGTTGTTCTGCTAACAATAACAAGCACAAAATTCCCTACGGAAATAAAAATTTGGATATTAGGTGAACAAAAATTAATGAAAATCTAATTAACAAACTAACAAAAAGGTTAATAAATGACAAGCCAATAAGGATTGCTGAATATATGAATAAAGAGCAATAGGAATTAGGAAACTGTTATGAAGAGCGAAACAATATTGAATGTATGCAACCAAGTGATGATTCAAAGTCTGAAATACTCATTCGCATAACATGATAGCTACAAACAATAAAGTAGCAATAAGTACCGTCCCAAACTCCTTGAACTTCATTTCGCGGAACTAAAATTTTCAAGCCATAACATCAAGAATGAGAGATGAAGCCTTCAAAACATTTTTATTTCAGGAAATGTGAGCAGTGAGCGAGGAATCTGGGAATTCTGGAATGGTAGAAATTAGAGGATTAATAATTCATATACCAGCAATGAGTCTGAAATTTAAAATCTGAACCCATGAAAGTGAATAACAGCAGCAGAGTTCCTCATTTTAGAGCCAATTTTTAAGCAAAGATTTAGGCATCGAATTCACTTAAAACATTTGAACATTTCTGGAGTTTCGAAAAATGGAGACTTAAAAGTTACTTAAAAGAATCGAATTTTCACTTTAAACCTCACCCTTTAAAGCCAAAAAAGCAAGAAAAGGTTTTAACAACATTAAAGCATAACTGCACAGGACCAAAACCGAATAGAAAAGAATTATTTACAGGAGCTGAGGATTGTCAATAATACAAGCACTGATGTTCCCTAAAATGATTGAGATCGGAGTGCTGGTTATAGTGACAAAGTGATGATAAATAACCAGCAATTACAACAACAACTGTAGTAATGAACAATACAAACTTTATCAGAAGTACGAAGAGATCACTCAAATTACTTTCTATTATCGTGATCTCCGATAAGCATTCATGATAAGACATGATTTCTTATCAAATGCATAGCTATTTGCAACAATAAACTACAAGATTTCTTTCATAAGCGAAAAAAGATCAGTAATCTTTGATTTCATGAATACGTGAAGCACTTTCTCAAATTTAAAACACTGCATTTACTAATCCAGAGAATAGCAGACAGAAATGAATGATAAGAGACATTTGATGGCGACACTTTTACTAAATCAAACCCAAAATATTGAAACCACATGTTTCAATATATATATTAAAATTATTTTACTCAGTATCAAAAATTTAATATTGAAGAAGTAAATTGACAAACTAAAACACTGTCAGTCGTTCCACCATTTATTCGTTTCATCTACCGATCAAGTTGCCGCCAGGATTGAATGGACATCATCTTGCAATGAACAGAATCGGTGGACTATATCAAAAAGAAAATATCACAACTTTCGACATAATACATGTGTTCATTTCCCACTTGTCATCTCTGGTGTCTATCTATACTTGCCTAAGTCGGAGATCCTAGATCAATCATGGTGGTTATTCGCTATTCTTGCTAATTTGTCGCTAAAGATGACGATGATAACAGTGCTACCGAGTGTACCAAACGTGGATTTTTCAAGCGCTTTAAACGTTTCGAGTAATTATATCGCAATTGCTTCCATCGTTTCAGGTAGAATTTATGTAATGTGACTCCAGACTGACCAATCGGTGACTCATCCTCATTAAAAGTTCGACAATTTTCGAAAATTTGCTCTAAGTCTTCAATAAAACTTTCCTGCGTCATGTATCTGAAACCAGTAGGGAAAGTACAACAAGCATTATGCAGAATGATTCTCCATGTACAGCTTCCTCTGATCTTTAGCCTATACCTTATTTCCCTTGCACTCTTCTAAAATATGTTCTCAAAATCTAGACATGAATAAAACACTAACTTGTTATTTTCAACATTCATCCGTATCTGATTCAAATCCATTGGTCTTTTGATAACTTTTTTATAAAATGGGACTTCCTTAGTATCGACAGGATACTGAAACGGCCCTGACTCAGGTCTCGCCCACAATTCGTCCAGCATCGTGCTGCAATTTAGAATTTTTGAAAATAAGATTACCGAAAATTATTGACGAAAGTCACCAATTGATCTCAAAAATTATCTTCATTTCAGTTGTAAACGCACTTGAATTAGAAATTCGAAGTTTTTGAACGTACTTGAAAAGGTTTTTCATCATATCTAGGGGGAAATCATAGTCTGCTGGTGTCATCCTTCGCCTATGTCGTGGAGCTTCCTGACGTCCGCTTGCATCCTCTTGCACGCAACTATTTTGCTTTTCCTGACCTTCCTGTTGAGCAAGCGCTATTTCTACATCGCCATTTAGAAGAGAATTTGCAAGTTCCGTCGAGAAACCATCAGCCTTAAAATTGAGATCAAATAATTACATCCAAAAAAACCCAATAAATCATATATCACTAAACATATAAGAGGGATATCACCTGAAATAAATGAATATAAGTAAAACACAAAAACAAAGCGAAAAAAATAAAAGAAATTCCAGAATAGTCCGTGACAAAACAAATCAAGGCTTACATTGAGGCATCCTGGACATGTCCATTGCTTAGGATCATTAAGTGTTGGTGTACGATCGAAACAAGATGCATGGTAACCGTTGTAACATTTCGAACAAACGATAATCGGTTCCAGTGGTTGCGAATTTGGTCGATTCCATTTGGCACAAAGAAGACAAAGCACTTTACGGCAAGCTCGTTGGACACATAAAGGACAGTACCACTCACCATCTGGGACTGCAGCTATTCGCGGCTGAAAATACACAATTGATAGTGGTAGAAAAAGCGGAACAATTCTTCTGTTTTTCATCTTTTTCCAAAGTCCATTTTCCAAAATCTCCACAACTTACACGGAAGCAATACATATGATAACCCATATCACAAGCATCACAAAGTAACAGTTGACTTTCATTCTCACTTGTTCGACAAATCTGACAACTTGCTTTCATTATCGACTTTTCCCATGCAATGGCTGAATCCAAAGCCTGGAACACATTAAATCAAACAGCGAAATCAAGGATTGAATGTACGAATTAAAACCAGAAGAATAAATTAAAAGTACAAAGTTTTATTCTTCTTCACATCGTAATTTATTTGCTCAAACTTTTGAACAGTCCTCCAGGTTCAATCATCTGCATTCCTTACTTTTATAAATAGTGAGAAAATGTGACGGGTACTATAAGATTTTTTAACGAACTTTTATATAAAAAAGTTTCAGTGCAAATTGATTGTCTTGACAATAGTACTTATTAAAAGCTAACCTGTAGCGCAAACATAATTTGTCCACCGGTTCTAGCCTTCTGGACATAATCACGCCAACGCTGCAAAAGCTCAGTATTTCCACTTTCATCGACGGTAATAGCGGCGCTGTCAAATGGACAATTGGAATTAATAGAATCACTATTTTCAGATTGGACCTCATTAACATCCATAATATTACTTGCGTCTGTACTGTTACCATTTTGATTATTCTGCTGTTGGGTGCGCAGGATCTTTTCAGCCGGTATTGTAGAACTGAAGTTTAAAGTTAGCTAACAAAATTTTTCATAAACTTAAACGATGTAAAACAGATTAAGACTAGAAAGCATAGCCATGAATCATATCAAACGTTAGAAACTCCATAAACGACAGAATCTCGCATAAATTATATTTTGCACATACATGAAGTAAAAAACAATTATGTGTATCTCGGCCAACAAAGCATATGTGTCTTATAGAATTAGAACTGAATTCCGCGGTGTAATATGTAGCAGCTAGATCAATTTTAAAGTAGTAATTCAAAATGCATCGATAAAGTTTTAATTGGAATATAAATCCTTTCTAAGGGATCTAAATAAAATTCCTCCGATTACAAAACAATACACTTCAACGTGTGGCTGATAACTTTTAGAAATGGAAATGAAGACATTAAATGAAATTCTTACCCTGCATAATAGCGATGAAGCAAATACCGACGTTCAATACTTTTCTCGACTTCTAAAAGTCGCTCTTTCAGCACCTTGAAATCATCCCATTCAAACAGTGAACGCTCTTCATTGACTTGTGCTCCATCAGTTAATACATAACCATCGTCCAAAGTCCAAGCATCCAAACTATCTTCACTTTCCGTATCATCGTCATGGTTATCTCCAGTGGGGAACATTGGCTGAAAGAACTTGAAAACCTTTTTTCATCAAGTTTTATAAGGCCAGCTTGAGAATTTAGGAATAGCTGATGAGTCAAAAATTTTCTTGTATCAGAAAATTTAATAATCGAAAACTCTGCTTAATTTCTGAAAAAACAAAACCAACCTCAAGTTCAAAAAAACCACTTACTCGACAGTGAACATTAGCGGCGACAACTTTCTGTTCAAACGATGAGATCAGAGCAGCAAGTCTTACTATCATTGCTTTGTTTATTTCGTTATTTGTCAACGGTCGAGTAATACACTCTAATTTTACTGAAATTTAATAACTGAAAAAATATCTACAAATACAGTATAAAGAATATGACAGACAGACGAAACACATTTGCTTATTATCTTAAAATTATTCTACAAATCGGGTTTTAAAATTCTGTAGTAAGGTATCATAGAATAATAATCCTATCATGAAATTTCAAATCCTTCATCGCACTGTAGAATTGGCAATGATTCATACATATAGAGTAGGAAAAAACATAGAAGTGCAGAAATGTCGCTTCTGTTATATGTACAATTATTTAATAGATTTTTAACATAGCAGTCTGATATCTAGCACTGCAGGCTTTTTCAGGTGAACTGTTGAAACTCGCTTTTGGAGTAGTCTCACTGCTCAGTGAACTATTAATAATCAGATATTTGAATTGTTGACTTATTTCAACAAATGAAAGTGAAAAGTTAAGAATAATATCAAGGCATTCTTTACAATTAATTATACTTACACTGACTGCTTGGGTTGAATGTGAAATTGTCTTTAATAAGCAAACGATGTAATACACGCTCCCGTATACCTCGACCGTGAAACGCACCGCGCAGTTGCTCCATCAATTTACCGTTTGATATCATCCACCAACCTCGTTTGCATTTGTTATCCAATCTACGTAGGCGTACTACAAGAAAAGGATTTTGGAAATGTGAGTCTGAACAAAATAACTTTTCGTTTAATATAAATTGACATGAATTTAAATTTAAAGTATTAAGCTTTGCATTATAATGCGCTTAAATTTACCTTTTTTCCCTCTGTTCGGGCGTTCTTCATTTCCACACAACGTATCTAGGATATCTTCCAAGCAAGCAATAACGTCTGGATCGACAAAATTCCTCGGATCTTCTGTAAAGCATGAAAAATCAAGGATGATTTTATAAATCTGATTAAAGCTTGATTAAATTGAATAATAAGGAACCAGCAATGGATGGCGGATCCTGCCGACAAGTGACATCCACATTAACCGCTGGATTATGGAGACCCGACGAAGCAATGCTTTCTACCAAAGGGACACCAAGACGTGGTAAAACCCAGTAGAAACGATGAAAACGATCCTGGAAGCGGTAAAGTATGAAAACACCTAGAAAGTCTAAATAAACAAGAAAAGTAACTATATTAAAAAGATAAGTTATGGCAAAACAAGTAAGAAAAAAAAATAAGTAGAATAAAGTAGTAAATAAAATACATAAATACATTTCCTACCAGTCCAAGACTGCGCTCACACCAAAAAAAAATAACAATTTCATTTTTGATACAAAACAAAAATAGAAAAATGAAGAAGAGAAGACTCTATTTATGCTTACACATTTCCCAAAGAAATAAATACTGCTTCACCAGAGATTAGTTTTCCTTTCTTCCCTTTCCTGCTAAAAAATAATCGCCTTTAAATCATACCTGTCCAATAGGTTGAATGCGCACACGATTGATCAATGCGTTGTGCCTTTCACGTAGCTCTTCCGCTTCATTATTGAGCTTTCCTATGTACTCATCCAATTCATCAACAGTCATTGCTTCCTCCTACAATAAGTGTTTATTTAGACTTCCTCCTTCAACATTACAAGTTTAGAAAAATTCTAAACATAAATTAGAGACGGTTTCAGGATTATTATATCTGCTGAAACTGTAATACACACGGGCTTTTATAAACGTAAACAATACTTACATAAAAACAAAAACTAGTTTTAAGAAATTCAGATTTAAATCTTAAATTTCATAAAATTTCAACACCATTTCCAACTTCTTACCTCTTCAGTTAACACATCGCATTGTCCAAGTCCTGGCGTGAGTGCTTTCAGCCGAGATGGTTGTAACGCCGGTTCTACTTCCTCTGAAACATCAGAGGGCTCTGAACCAGGAGTACCAGCTCGACTAGATGAAGTATCATCATCTCTGATATCATGCCTCAGCTGCAATTTATTCAGTGACATCCAGAACCATGAATTTTTAATTGTTAGATTAATGAAATATTTTCCTCGGAATTTTATGACATTTAACTTACAAATAAAATCAACAAGTAAAAGACATGAACAACGGTAGAAAAACATGGACGAGAATAGAAAATAACCTCCTATTAGAAATTAAACTTTAGAAAACAAATTAAAATTTTTCGCGAAAGCTGCATCTAACTTCATTGATTAATAATATAATGTTTTAAAACAAAATAAAAGAATCGAAATAAATGCATAAAGGATAAAAATAATAAGCAAAAAACAAGTGGACAAAAATGTAACTGAACTTACTGAATTTTTTTAGTTTACAGAAAAATCTGAACATACTCGTCTTAGCGCCACTCGCTTTCGTGTCTGCACTGCTCGTAAAGCACGTGATTTACCTTCACGTAGCCACTTTTCACCTTTCAAACGCGTCATTTCTTCCATATTTGCTTCGATATCACGAACAACGTTGCGGCAATATAACAGTTCGTTACATAAGAAAGCTAAAATCGCAGCTTTCGATTCCGGATCTAAGCACTCGAATGAACAGTACTCTAATTTGGCGCCCAGCTAAAATTAACTTTCCGTTAAAATGTTATAAATGAACTTTAAAAAGTGAACTTTTGAATTCAATGTATGCAATTGTATATGAAATTAATCAAGTTGATTCTAGGATTTGAAAAAGCGAAATGTAATGAGAAATCAAACACAATGAAAATACCAGAAATGAATTTAAAACCGAATCTAATGTAAAAACAATACCTTTTTTCCTTCTTCATCACGTGACAAAAGAAACATTTTTAGTAATTCCGAATAATTCTCTCGATGGACGCCCACATCCTTAAGTGCTTGTCCGAGAGGAGTTCGTCCAGCAATTCCTGATGGCAATCCAGGATATTCGAGGACTAATTGCAGCAAAATTTTAGTCAATACCAAGAAACCTTTGAGATAATTCGGATGGTTTTGTAAACCTGCCAGGAATTCGTTTAGCGTTGGTATCGCATTTAAATCTTAAATTTCATAAGATTTACTCTCTTAAGAACTGATGAAATTTAACCATAACGTAGTAAGATGACCTAGATCTTTATAAAATTTAAGTAAATTTCTTGAAGTGAATTTCCAATTTGGAAAGATGTAAGATGCACATGATCAACTCACCAATTTTCAAAACATGACCAAAATTACGTATAAATTCATCAACCATCAAAACATTAGCAAATGCTGATGCACTAACAGTAAGATTTTCGATTGAATCAAGCGCAGGCAATTTCTAAAAGTAAAAATTCTAAAAGATGGATGAGATTTTATAGGATTAAAATTAAATTGAAACTACAGCTTCAAAATTCAAAAATTTTACAACTTCAAACTTAAGTAAGACGTATAAATTTATCTTTCCAACTCCGAAAATAATTGAGGAAAATACAAACTCGTGCTTCTTCAATCAAAAGATCATCTGTTGGCAGTCGAAGGGCTTTCAGACGTTCTTCCTGTTTTTCTTCTTCACTGAGTTCTAGCTTTGGTAATTTCAATTCTACAGCTGGAGCAATAGAAGAGTCAGTAGTAACACTGGTGGTAGTGGTGACAATATGAGGAATAATATTAGTAGTAGGAGAAATTCCGGGAGTTGAAACTGATATAACTGAAGGTGTTGCGTGGCGTGATACTGACTCAGATTGGTTCATCTAAATTTATACGACAGTACTGAGTTTCAATCAAATAAATAAAGGATTTGATTACTGACTTGCTTATATGCTTTTATACGATTAATACATAGAAACGAGAATGAGGTAAAAAAAAGAGGTACTTTAGGTTTCTTGACTTCAGGTTCCACTTCAGTTGTTGATTTTCCTTCCACTCTAAAAACCGAAGGCTGCTGTTTTTGTTGATGTTGAAATTGACGTTGCTGTTGTTGTTGAACATGCTGGCCCTGGAACCAAACAGAAGATGAAACAAATCAAAAAACATACCGAGTAGGTATAAATTTAATTCTAATTCTTTCTTCTTCCTATCTACTTATCCCAAACATTCGTGATCATATCAGATTACGGCTATACTTGAATTTTTTAAAAAAAGGCGCCAATATCAACCTTTAAGCTATATGTTTAACTCATTTCACTTTCATCCAGTGAAGCTATCAATGTTAACATGAGTCAAATATGCCACTGATTTTAAAGCGTCCATAGAGATACACTCTGATCTTCAATAATTATACCTACATATGTGATCACAATTCAGTGCAAATATGAAGTCCACAAAAAAATACAGATTCTAGGGACTTTTTCATTTAGATAATTAAGAAAGTTCACTTTTTTAAACCTTCAACTCAGAAAAGTTAAGGGGCTGTAAACTCTTAAAAAAACTTACGAAGGTAAGTAATAATTGCGCATACATTTGCTGTTCTCCCTGACGTCGCAGTAGTTGTCGATGAAGTTGTTTCAGTGCATTATCTTCAGTCAGCTTCAGTAAATTCTTGTCAGCTGATGGAGCTTCAATGAATTTTGAAATAAATCATAAGTCTGTCATATAAAGGGAATGATTTATAATCTTGCGCATAAAAACAGGCTTAGTGTTTATCTAAACAATTATGTATATCATGTAATTATTGAAAAGCAATAGGAAATAACACCATGACTACTAGACGTTTCTGCTGTCGTACTTTTCGGAGCTTACGACAGCACACATTGTACAAGCTAAAATATCAAATTACGTTAGTTTTTAATCGGCTACTTTAATCATTAGTGTGGTCTGAGACACCATGCAAAGTCGGAAAACTCATTAAGCTGAAAATCCAAACTCACCAACTGTACCAGAAGAATCGACTGCTCCTGAAGAAAGGGTAGTTTTTATATGGGTACCAGATGTTCTACGAACAGTATTGGTAGCAGAACAGTTAGCAATTTCTGCCAGAATCCTTTCTTCCGATACTCTGTCGGGAACCTGAAAACAAGGAAACAAAACAAGAAATTCATTAAAAAGAGAATATCTCAATATCAGTTCATAACTTCAAAAGTATGTAATAGATAAAATGAAGCAAGAAAAAAGAACAAGAACAAATTCATATGAAATAAAATTATATCTCACCTTTGAACCATCTTCATCATCTTTGAAGAGAATGTACTCACCAACAATCACTTTACAACTGAAGCTGAAGTTTTCTCTGCCAATGTCTTTGATATTCTTTTTCGTAAGGTACTGAAAAGGGAGTAACATGAAACCTCAATTTTTCATATCCATTTTCAACTTCGAAAATTTCTCCAAACATTCGAATTGTGTTGAAGTAGTCGAGCGTTACACTAGAATAATTTATTCAAATCTGAACACATACCCGCGTTACTTCAGCATATGAACCAAGTTTTTTACCGCATGGTGCATAGTAAATAACATCACCTCGAACCCCGCTGGCACTTATTGTTCGGATGCAAGTCTGACGTCGCCAACTGAAATAACAAAAATATGAGTGATTCCAATATGATAACAAGACTTTACGGATTTTCTAAATCTTTAGTGCAATATATCTTTAGTGCTGGCGTAAATAAAGCTGATATGCAGCTTATTATTGACTAAACAAAAAGTAAGGAATATACCACTGCTTTAACTAAAAAAAAAAAAAAAACTAAAGAACACCACTGCTATTTGATATTTCTTAATAATTAGAGCCGAAAGTCAAGTTATTTAACGTTTTGTGAGTGGTTGTTTGGTAATAAAATGTATGTGTCCATACTTTATAATTTGAAGGAAACTTGTTTTTAAATCAGTTAACACTTGAAAAGTCTTCCAAAATACACAGACAGTAAGCAGAACTAAAGATTTGAACAGCATTGGTATCAGACCGAAAATAATTAAAATGAAGTACAGAATAAAAAGAGATAAATAATTTTGTTGTAAAGACATTAAAAAAAGCGTAAATAAGAAGAGTGAACATTTAACATCAAAAGTAAAAACAAACCCAGATTTCAGAGGTATTCGTATCAAAGATGCATCAGCTTGCGTACGCTTTCTTGAAACATCAGAATCCGTGCCGCTAGTATGTTCCCCAAAAATACGACTGCGCTCCCCTGTTGTACCATTTCTTGGTTTATGAAATGATAAATCTAAGGGTGAATCAGTGAGTTTAGCAGAAGATGGTGATGTTGGCATTGATTCGTGAGAAGAAACTTTTGCAGATAACGCATACGATCGATGACTTTCGTCTTTTCGAGATGCACTGCAAAAAGACTAGCGATGGAAACTATAAAGTTTCGTTTCCCTAACTTGACTTTTATTTCCTTTTAAGAGAAATAGTATTTAAATAAACATCTCGTGCGCTTCATATATCGTGCGTCTAGCAGTTACTAATTTCTGTTTAAGTACAAACAGTTACACTAAAATGGAACTTGCCTCAAGCCAGTTGTGGCGCCACTTGATGCCACCTGATGAATCATTGCAGTTCTTTTTAGCATATGACTACTACTACTACTACCACTTCCACTGGGACAAACAGAAGTTGTGACAGTGTTGGTAGTTGCAGCTCGAGCCCTAGCCCTTTCATAGTTAGCAGCACTTTGTAACACGGCAGCAATAAGTTCACTGTGCTGTTGTTGCTGTTGCGAAGCCGTGGCTGCAAGTGCAGCATAGCAGCGTGCCGATGCTTCTAAAAGATTTGAATTCAAAGATACGCCACCAGTTGATGATGATGATGATGATGACGAAGGTGAGAGTTGCGAAGACATACCATTTCTTGTTCTGTTGTTATCCCTAAAAAAAACGGAATTCTCACCTGAGAGTTTCTTAATTTAAATTCAAAGGTTGTTTTAGCAAAAAAGAAGAAATAATTCACGTGAATAGGATGCAATTTTGAAAAATCTTTTTTTCAGTTTAAGAATCTTCACTTTTCTTTAGGAAGCTAAGAAAATCTACTAAAATAAAAAATTTTCTAGAAAAAAATTTAAATTTTAATAAATCCTACCTCCGTTTCGGTATTTCACCCGGTTCCAAACCCTTTGTTGGAGAATCCGGAATAGAAATTGGGATGCCAGTGTTCGCAGAAGAAGTAGAAGCTATATCAGCAACAAAACGCCCCACTGTTCGTAGTGTCGATTCGTTGTTATCTGTATTATTGGGATCGTGATTCGTTTGTTGTCTACCTAAAAAAATAACAATATGTCCATTTAATTGAAATTCAAATTTCATCGCAGCAACTTCTCGATAATCTTAGGCCTTGCTCGCAATCCCGGAAATGTTTGATATTTTACGAATTTAATTCAATGAAATCATATTTACAACATTATCTGAAACGCTTTAAATCTGAATTATATGGCAAAAACTACAGTATAACGATATACCAGTAACAATGTTAGCTGATCGTGTACTTGCAGTAGCCATTCTCCTCAGCACTTCTTCAAATGATTCTTGTGGTTGCTGCTGCTGTTGCAATAGCAATCCTGGCTGCGACAACTGTGCCATATTCCAAAACATCATATCGACTGTGTTTGTCATACCAAAATTCAAACTTGGAAAAATCAAACCCATAGGCATATTATTTTGTGTAGCTGCTTGAGCAGCTAACAGGGCCAAGAAATTTTGTTGTGTCTGATCGCCCATTTCCTAAAGAAAGCGTTTTCACTTTTTGAAATTTAAAGATAAAAAACTATAATTCCTTTCCGGAATTTCTAAAAAAGTAATTTAGGAATAAGAATAGGAAATACTGAGATTACAAGCTATACCACTATCAGAAAATAAATAAAGACATCTGTGAGAAATGGACACATTTAAAATATGAAGAGATTCATGAATATTTTTTGAAGACAACAAATAATTTTTTTTTTTTTTTGCAAGTTACACTATGCATGCATTTGTCTGTATTTCTCTTCTATTTTTCACATACAATGTTAATCATTTTTGATAAGTAATAATCTGGTTTCAAATAATGAAGCTCATTTCACACTTCCACCTATTTCATGCATGAGTCAAGATTTTTATGGCCGTAACGGTGATGAGGATATAGATCGGGTTATAGATCAAAACAACTAGGTTCCAAAACATGAAAAAATTCTTCATGCGCTCAAAAATACAAATTAAATGCCGTGAATAAAGCAAAAATACAACGAACTGTTTTTCATGATAGACAGTAAAAAGTGAAGAAATACAGTGAACACATTTGAAATGCATAATGATCGATTAGTATGGGAAACTGCATACCCGAAGGAACTGCTTACAATTTTTCTTAAGAAAATGACGTAGCAAAAAGTTTTAGTAAAACTTCTGCAAAGCCCTGGAAGTGAATGTATACATACAGATGAACTGTTATTGATCTGCAGATTTCTACTCAGGAATCCGTATCATTCTAAATCAATTAAACCAGCAAAACCTAAAGAATATCGACATCATTTAGCATGTTTCTAGAATCTTCATCCGTGTTAGCTGTTGTTTTACGAATGCTGCAAATATACCGAGAGATCAATGGTACTCGGCATCTTTGCGAGTTAGTTTAATGAAAATTAACTGATGTAAAATGCAATCTGAACAAAAGGACACATGACATCCAAGCAGTAAGCTTAAACGTAAATTGGACACAACTCCTTAATTTTAATTGTCATCAGTGACGACGATAATATCAATTATAGCTCAAACTATATACACGTATAAATAGACAGACAGAGCAGAGACACATACATACATCCACAGACAGATTTTGGATTACAATTTAGTGAAATTTGCTGAAGTTGGAATAGGAGGAAGCGATGAGGGAAAGCAACATCGCCAGCTCCAACCCACCTGCCGCTTATCGTCATCGACATTACCATCATGTCTACTACTACTGCTATTACTCACTCACAATGTTTCTAAAAATTTTGGACATTTATTGCAAGTGAGTAGAGAGAAAGGCAGAAACAGAGAAGACCATATCAACAGAGCACTAGTGGATGGAGTCTGAAGACCACCTGTTATTAACCTTTGTTGGATTGTGCTGTCGACATATGTAATAATGCTGGACGGGAGAGAAAAAGGACAAAGGAACATCGGAAGATGACACACGGATTCGTTGAATGTATTATTTACAAGGGTGAAGTAATTATTTCAGTATCCTCTTACTACTTTTTCATAAGGCAGAAGGCTTCATGCAAAATGCTAGCAACAACAGTCCATTGTGTTAATGCATTAACTAATTCTCCACTCTTCAAACACTCTGGTTACAAGCGAAGCGCAACGGTTTTAACGTGCTTTTTCTTTTGCAAACCGAAATTTTTTTTCCTTAAAAACTTCTGGTTAGAAGCAATGATTGCATAGAATTCAAAATGATTCCGTCTCAAGTCATCATGATAACTATGCTTACACTGCAATATACCAGATGCCAACTCTTTCCATCACGCAATCCTTTCCAACAATTACTTACAAAGAGTAAGTCTTTACTCTCTTCACGAAGCAACCATCATTTTACTATATTTCCTTTTTCATTTCTTTTCCTTTCTTTCATATGTCCATCTATTAATATTTGGCTACCACTAGAGCAGATACATTACAAAAATATAGAAAGCATCAATAAGTCGTAAATTAGCAATCGTGAATTACAGAAGGCACCAATCGTGAATATTGATGAACATCACTATCATAACTAAGGTTAGGATGGTTATCAAAACTATCATCATTACAGTCATCCTCATCCTTGTCACTATTCTTATTCAGTCATTATCAGTATTATATATATATATATATATTCATATTATTGGGTTCATATAGTCAAAACAGCAGTGACGCTATTTCCTGAAGTATAGAAATGTACGAGGATAAATGAAAAGGGAAAAAGCATGTTACATTACTTTTCAATCAATCAATCAACCAATCTATACAGATAAATAAATTGGTTGACTGATATCTACCCGTTCTATAAAATTCTACATTCATCCAACCATTCAGACAAACATCCCATCCGGATAACGACCAATCGCTGTCGCATATGTGCGTGTCTTTTCATCAAAAGGAGCAGTCCGAAACCTCTTTTGCTTTTCTTCTGCATCTTGAATGTTCGATGAAGCTTTTAAAGCCCTTTTATAAGCTTTGGTTTAGAGAGTTAGTAGCAATAAAGCAAGAGCAATAGTAGCACCAGCATTATTAGTGGTGGCACTAGTTAGCATTTAGCATTTACCACAATCCTTTTCCTCCTTCTCAACAAACCAATAATGATTCCTTACCTCTTATTCTTCATTATATTAACTTCAAATGTATATGATAAAGCTATAGTGCATTACTAATGAACAATAGAAATATCAATATCGGTATATTTTTACTTTATATATAAAGTGAAGAGACATACCACATCCTCAATTGGCAAACAATCGTACTGAGACTGCTTGGGGCGATAAATGTCAGTAAGAGTTGGCAAATTTTGCTTCAAATATTTCTTACATTTTCACACATCACAATGAGTCAGAATACCTGCGCCGAAATTCGGCAATGGCAAATGATGGTTCAAGAACTAAACAAGACGCATTTTACACGACAAACATGAAAGACTCCACTTTTTTTGTTGTCAGAGTGACATTTCAGATGCTAACAATGTGATGAATCTTTTCTCAAATGCATGAGAAAGGAGTGTTGAACAGTAATATCTAAGAAATCTTCAGTCTCTCTGACCTATACTCGACTCGCAAAAATCTGCCGTCTTTATGGATGAGAAAAACAACACTTCGAAAAAAAAAAATGTTAAATTCTGATCATGATGCAGTTGAAAAAAAAACAAAAGTGAAGAATATGACTCTCACTTGCCCCTTCCGTCAATTTAAGAATGCAATTCTGTTCTTAGAATACTGCGGGACTTATGTCGATTTAAGTGTCCTAGCACATCCAAACACAAATATACACAAGCGCATGGTGCATGCAACTCATGGTACATTACATTAAGTGGATGAGAAATCCCACCCATATCAAAGTAACACGAAAACGACATTAAGCCATTACTCACTATGGAAAGAATGGCCTTCAACTGAACCAGTGACTATTAACAATCAAACAACTAAGAAAAATGCCAAGAAATGAAATTTCACTAGTCCATTTAAAAAGAGCTCGAAAATTAATAGCATTGGAAGTCAACAATTTTTAATATATCAATGTAAAGTTGTTTATGCAACTTGCTATTCATTCTATAAGGCATTCATTCTCAGTCCAGTTTATCGGCTGCTATGATTTTCATTAGTCTTAAGTGCCCTTAATATGTTTCTTCCTAAAATATGTGTCAGCAGAAGAAAGTTTACAACATGAATGCCAGATTTCAGAAAAAATCATTCAGAAATACTACAAAGAGTAAGTGAAAAAAGTGAATTAGATATCTGACTGCTGAAAAAAACAATCTGGAATGCTGTTATAATATGGGTCAAATGACTGAGATGTTGGATATAAAAGCACAATTCGGTCGTGACCAGAAGTGCAGTGCTTTGCTCATCAGAGATGTTATAAAAGCCTGCTGTTATTCTTGAAACGCAAAACCATTGGAAACAGACTTATCGATTGATTTTAAATAACGTCAAACAGTCTATATAAAAAGAATAGAATCGATGTTCAGCCTTTCACTACTTCTTTACGATGTCGCATTAATCAGTTAATTAATGACAAAGACTGCCCCGTAATATATTATCACGTGTGTTCATGCAGTTCGATAGGGAACCAAGGGCATATTTATGAAAGAATGGGTTGTCCTTGAAAGGAAAACTGAATGTGCACTAAGTTAACTGATTCTGGACTATTCAGTCATTATATAAGTGATGTTAGCAGTACATTGAGGGCTTCACTTCACAGGAGAAATCCGAATAACAAGCAGAATTTGATCTGGTCATAAAGGATAGTGTAGTTCCAAAGATTTCGTAAAATTGATAATTGTGCTCCACTTTTCGTGAATCTTTTATCCAGTCGTTAATGTGTTCTATCGACCAGATGAAAGTCCAAGCTGCTATCTTTAAAGAGGAGATGTCTTTGCTGTGACAATTTAGATATTGGATGACCTCCTATCGATTTCTACATACTACACAATGATTACAGCTGCTAATGCCTTGCTTGTATTGTTTTTATTGTTTCGTTCGCAACCTAGTCATAAATCTCGAAATACGATTCATTTTTGAGCGCAATGGAAAAGTACGATTATACCTCCAAAATTTTCAAATTAGCAGCAATAGCGGTAGTATATAAGCCTGTTAATAATAAAAATTTCCTTTATGATGGAATATAATTTCGCAATACAATTTGGCCGCTAAAATACTTTAAAAAATAAAAAGTTTCTTAAATCGGTGGCGCAAGTTTGAAAATGTACTCAAAGAACAACGTCCTTCGCAGCATTAAAGTCACTTACCCAATTCCCATTTCATTTTATATCTGTTCACTACAAAATGCGATTTCCCTAATGTAGATCTTAGCAATAACTGTTTGATTCATCAGTGGTTCGAAGATGGAAGGGACAAATGTAATTGCATTATGTTAGCTGATTAAATTATCACTGAGATGAAAAAGCTATCAAACTTGAATTCAGAATTTTATAAAGGAAGGAATAGGAAACAAACTGTTTCAGGAATGAGATAGAATCACTCAAACTATGTATGTCAAATTCTTTAAATTTG